AAACTTTTTTTTTTTTTTTTTTTTTAATAAAATTCTGTTGTCAGGGATAAAAAAATAAGAGAATGTTGAAAACAATTGAATGAAAAAAATTCATCCCCCTGTGAATAAAAAATTTCTATGATCGCCACCACCACCTCCATCACCATCACCCTGACCACCACCACCACCACCACCCTGACCACCCTTGTTCTGTCCATTGATTTCTTTTTCGGCATTGAAATTCTCGTTAACTCACCTTTCGTTTAACGTGTGAGTAAGGTCTTGTCAAGTTTTTAAGGTTAATTGCTCATTCTTAGAACTTGAATTTCTTAATATAATGATTTCTTTTAACTATACCTGACGTTGTGACGTCATGGCATACTTTTCTTATATTCGAATGTATTTTTTTTACTTTTGTTTCTCCGTCTTTAGCCACGACTACTAAAAATTAAACAAATTAAAAAATCTTTCTTAGGTGTTAATTTTTAACTAATTCCACGACATTTTTTTTTTTGTTTGTTTGCAAACAAAATTTTTTTAACGGTTTTTATTTTTGGTTTATTTTAGTTTTTCGTTTTGTTTGTTAGCAAATGTCAAAAAATCATCAAAAAAAAATTTTTTTTTTTTGTTAAATAAGGAAAAAGAAAAAGTATTTAACTATTTTTAAATTTTTTTGTTATTCTTTCACCAAAAAAAAAATTTTTTTACTTTTTTTAATTATTGCATCAAAAATGATTTTATTGACAGTAGTAGTACCACCACCACCACCTACCTGTCAAAATTTTTTATTGTTTACTTATGAAAGGTTGACGTTTAGTTTTTTAAAATAATAATAATAATAATAATGAAATAGGAACATGCAATTTACGTCGTGAAATGTCAAAACATTTATACCCTGACATGATTTAGGTAAAAAAAAATTTATTTATATACCTGAAATTTTTTTTTTTTTTCTGAACCAAAAAGATTTCATGAAAGATTTTTTTATAAAAAAAAAAAACAGGTGTTTAAATAGTTAAGGATAATCTAATAGATAATCTTCACGGTTGTTTAATTTTTTTTTCTGGATGTTTTTATAAAAAAAAAACAGGAGGAGTCATTTATAATACGTAATGAATAATACGATTATAATACGAACGATTGGATTCAGGTATTATTAGGTACTAACACAAAAACCTACCGTTTATTTTATTATTATTATTATTTTTTTTTTAGGTTGAATTGATAAATCCGCCATTTAAAAAAAAATTTTTGTTGTTGTTGTTGTTGTTGTGGGCAGTTCTGTAGTCACCACAAAAAAAAAAATTTTTACGTTTTATTATTATTTTTTATTTATTTTGTGTTTCATGTTGTTGTTGTTTTTTTCTTCAAAGATTTTTATTTATTTTAACGGGATTTATCCCCTCCCCTCCCCCCCCCAAAAAAAAATTTTTTTTGGCATCACAATTCGATATTTTTTTTATGTTTTTCATGATGATGACAAATTTTTACATTTTTTTTTTTTTTTTCATCATTATTATTAAACTTATTTATTTCTAGTGATAGTTGCAAAATAATAATAATAACAACACGTTTGATTACGTGCAAATATATAAATAAATAAAAAAACTTTCGGTTAAAGAATTAAAATGCAAAAAAAAAAAAAAACAGAAAACAAACAAAAAAAGAAATTCCAACTTGAAAAACAAACAAATAAAAGAAAAATTTCAAGTCAGAATGATTAAGAAGAAATAGAAAAGACAAGAAAACTAAAGCTAATCCGAATAAAATGATTGTGCAAGTTTTTTTTTTTTTTTTTTTAGTCCATTCACTAGATTTTTAAATATTTAAAGGTTTCAGGTATAAATATTATCATATTATCAATGAATATCATTTTTCGTGAGGGTAATACGTGTGTCGACCCATTATTATTATTATTATTTTTAACTCATTCGATTAATTTATTTTTTAATGTTAAATTTTTTTACAGGATAATAAGGCACAAGTTATACAAATATGGCGGTGGAAAGTTTATTTATTGGTATCATGATCGTTTCCTTTTAAAATTTTCCGACTTCCTCTCTCTCTCTTGTCTGTCTATTCTTCTTCTTCTTTTCCTCACCGATAATAATTTCCCTTCGTCGTCATAAATTTTTTTTTCAATTGTTTTTGCCTCATCATCATAATTATAATTCCACAGGATATTGAAGTGCCTGTCACAGTGGCGCCAACTCAGACTAAATTATAAATTTAGTCTGAGATTTTAGTTATTTATTCTTTTCTTATTTTTTTATTATTTAAACCGCCAGGAATAATGATAATGATAATAAAAAAAAGGTTTAAAAAGAAAATTGTCACTTGGGTGGCCTTTTAAAATTTTTTTTTTTTAAACCGATATTAAAATTTAAATTTAAACGATTTTTTTTTTTGTTTTTTTTTTTTTTTTTTTTTTTTCGGTTAATCAATTATTAAATTAAACCCGAGGAGGGGTTTTTTGTTTTAAAAAAAAAAAAAAAAAAAAAAAATGTCACATCTCCCTTTAAAGCAATTCTCAACATTTCCCTTCTATTACAATCTAACCTGTCAGTAGCAAACGGACGGCGGCGTGATTTCATCATCATCATCATCATCATCGTCATCATCCCCATTTACCCACACCCTTACTTACTGGACTGTATTATATGCACGCTGTTGTTCCTGTTGTTGGCAGACCCTATTAACCGAAGAATTCACGCCCTCAAACTCCAGCAAGTGTGCTTTTATTTTTTACATTGATTCAATTTATGACTTTTAAACTTTTCACTTACCCCAGTCATTCCTTCCAGCGTGACAAACAAAAAAAAAAACCTTTTACGTTTATATATATACTTTTTTTGACTTTAAATTAACTTACTACTACCATAACCACCACCACCACCACCCCATTACCACCGCTACCTTTTTTTTTCAAAAAAGGAAATTAAAAAAATTTTTCATAAGAGTGGGCGTCATTTTTAATCAATTAAATTTTTTATTATGAATTATAATTAGGTGGGAAACAATAAAAAAAGAAAAAAGATTTGAAATCTCAAAAATTATAAACTTAAACACCCACGTAAAAAAAAAAAAAAAAAAAAACAATAATATATATCGTTTGAGAAGATTACAAAAATTAAATGTTTGTCTACCTACGAACAAACAATAAAAATAATAATAATAATAATGATTAATGTAATGTTATTTTAAACTCAATTAAAACTTTTAAAAAATACGTATACAATAGGGGGGAATGGTGGATGGGGAAGAGGGAAGGTACAAATTAATTAAAATTATTTTATTTAAAAAAAAAAAAAAAATATATATATGTATATAAAAATTGTAAGTTTTCATTTAATTTTTTTATAAAAAGAATTGTATTTGCTGTGTAAATTAAATATGCATATTCGTCTTCTTAGGTTAAAACAAAATTATTTTTAGTAATGGCTGGCGAAGAGGCGTGGCTTAGTATTAGAAAAGTTTTTCCGGTTTGCAAGTTGCGTCGCAACCGTTCTTTTTTTTTTCTTTTTCTCTGCATCCTTTAAATAAAATAAAATAAAATAATTTTATTTTATTTATTTATTTTAAAATTTTAATAAGATTTTTATGTAGTGTTAATAATATTTTATTTAATTTAAAAAATTTTTTTTTTCTTCTTACGTAAGGTAAATAAAAACAACGAATTGTTGTTGTTGTTATTACTTCCGCGTTTAAAGTCCGGGGATATTAAAATTAATTAAAGGTCAAATGTTAAATTAAACAAGGTTAAATTAAACAACTGCATTTAACCATTTAAGAGATTTTTTAAAAATGGCGGAAATTTTTTTGCATATCCCTGAATAAAATAATTATTTGTACGTAATTATTAAAATTATTATTATTATTATGCGTTTCTATTCGTTATTGAAAACAGTTAAACGTTGTTTTATTTTCTTTTTCTTAAATCTTCGTAACAGTTTTCATTAAAAAAAAAAAAACGCGGATTAGATTTCAAAATGAAAAAAAAATTAATTTTTAAGGTTTTGAAATAATTTTATGAAAAAAGGTAATGAGAAAATGGCGAAAAAAAAAACAGGCATAATAATATTAGGCACGAGCGTTTTGATTCATATATTTTTCAATATAAAATACAAATAAGTAGTAGATTGAAAGAAAGAAAAAAAAATCACCAAAACCTTATTAACCTTTTTTTTTTTTTTTAAACACTTGGAATTTAAAATACTGTTTTTAATAATAATAATAATAATAAAATTTTTTTATTTTTCAATACTAATAAAATCGTATGTAAACCGAGCCGCGAAAGAAAAAAACAAAACAAATAATTCGCCGCCATATTGAATTTTTAAAACATTCCGGAAAACGAAATGAAAAAAAATCAAAATTTTTTAATTGAAATAAATTTCGAATCGAAAAGGGTTGAAAATTTTTCTTTTTTTTTTTTTTTAAATATTAAATAACGTCGAATGTTTAAAAAAACAAAACAAAAATTAAACAAAAATATTACTTTAATATTTTCGTCCGCCATTTTGATTTCCCGTTAAATCCGTTGCTGCATCGAAACATACGAGAGAATAAATCTTCGGCCGATTTTTTATTTTATTTTAAATATTTTATTGTGATGAGAGCTCGCGGCAAAAAAAAAACCACTAAAAAAAATATTAGATAAAGCAATAATAATAATAATAATAATAATAATCCGAATAATTTTTTTTTCTCACTTTTAATAATATGGCTAAAAATTAGTTACACAATTTTTAGATATAAAACTAAAATATATATATTACACGCGTTTTGTGTTTTTTTTTCTCATTAAATTCACCTTTTTTTTTTTTATAAGAATCACAAATTATCATGGAAGTTTATTATTATGTTTATTGAGATCATTTGTAATTAGTAATTCTCAAAAAAAAAAAAAACAGTAACAGTAACACTGGTAACTGAGCGTCCACGATCCAACAGCAAACCTTTTTTTTGTTTCAAAACGATTGATCATCTTCGAAAGGCTCACCGTGAATGTTTGCGTATTGTTACCAAGCTCGACCCTGGAGCGGAAGATACGAAGAACAAATATTAGGAGGAGTTGGCTGATGATGATGATGATGCTGTTGGACAGTCATTTGCCTTTGATAAGCCATATTGGTAAGAATGGTTGCCGTGGTACTACAAGAGCCTTGCTGTTGTTGGAGTTGTTGTTGCTGTTGTTGTTGTTGGTGATTTGGATGAGTTTGTTGCGGATGACCCGGTGGTCCTCCTTGTTGAGGATTCATCGGTGGCCCCACCGGACTGTGCCCGCAATGATTTCCTCCGCCTCCTCCCTGAGGAGAAAGGTTATTGGTTACTAATCGTCCACCTTGGGCGGTTAAAGGGTTTCCGTCATTCGTTCCGGAACACGGTTTTCCATCTTTAACCAAAACAGGTACTGCTACTCTTCGCGGTGAGCTTTGAGACTGATAAAAAAATTTTTCTTATTGTTTTTTTTTTTTTAACTAAAAATTTATTGGAATGACTAAAAACAAAATGACTACTACTACTAACAAATACCTGATTTTGAGCGGCGCTTTGTTCAGCCATTGCTTTTTCTTTTGCTTGTCTTTTACATTTATAACGATGATTTTGAAACCAAATTTTTACCTAAAAAACCAAACAAATAAAATCAAAATCCGATGATCATTTACATCTTCGGGTACCTAATTTTCAATCAAATTTACCGAAAACCATATCAATCAACTCCCCGGAGATAAAAAAAAAAAAAAAAAAAAAAAATTAAAGACCGGCTACCATCCATCTATCCATCCTTCTATCTATCTATCTATCTATCCATCTATCTATTATTGTATTTTCTCACCCTCGCCATCTTTTATATAAAAAAAAATATAAGCGCGAGAATTAATTTTAAACCCCTCATTTCCGATGAATTCATTTTCAACAGACTTCATCATCGTTTGTTGTTGTTGTTGTTGTTGAGAGTTTGACAAATGAATCGATTTTTTTTTTTTTTTCGTAGTGAATTTACCACCACGTTTTATTATCATTATTATTATTATTTATCCCCCTTTTTTTTTTTTGAAAATATTAAATAAATAAATGTGAAATTGCGCGTTATTTTATTATTTGTATCAATTAATTAATAATTTTTTTTTTTTTTTTACCTGCGTCGGCGTAAGATGAATTAAACTAGCAAGATGCTCTCGTTCTGGAGCCGAAAGGTATTTTTGTTGTTTGAACCTTCTTTCCAATTCATAAACCTGAAAAAAAAAAAATTTAATTTCCTTACATATTCGAAAGTACACGAATCTAATTTTCTCGTTAAAAATTTATTCACGTCACGAATTTAATTTATCCGTTTTCGAAATAATTTTTATTAATTTATTTATTTAAACAAAAATTTTAACAAACAACAAACTGCAAAATAAATCCACTCGTTACGGTTGTTTATTTAAAAAAAAAAAAAAAAAAAAAGTTTAAACGGTTTTTTTTTTTATATATTGAATTTTAAAAAAAAAAAAAAAAAACATGGCCGAACTTTAAATACACAAAACAATACCTGAGCTTGTGTAAACAAAACTCTTCGTTTTCTTCTTTGCGTTAGTGGAAATTGCATGGGTTTGGCATCTCCTCCTACCCCACATGTTGATAACGCACTCATATTACCCATGTTCATATTCATTGATGCTGTGGCCGATGATCCCATAAGGCGAGAAACTAAAATAATAATAATAATAATAATATGATATTAATTTTGTTGCTCTAATGAATAACTTTATTACTATGAAGCAGTCGTAGGAACAAATGGAGTAGGTAAAAAAAAAAAGAGAAAAAATGTGTGCGTGCGTACGTGCGTGTGCGTGTGTATATTAAACGCTTAGTCTACAATTTTTTTTTTTCTTTCTTCGGTTGGTGGTTGCCAGCCAGAATTGAAGCAGCAGAATCTCAAGTGGGTAGGCAAACGCAGAGCAGTGAATAATTCAATAATAGTCAGCTCAAGAATCTCATGTATATTTATCATAGTCATTATGTAAACAAGGAGGAGAGGCGTCTTCTTCAAGTGTCGTGAGGTAGTAGTAGGATAAAAACTTTGATTTTTTATACAAAATTAAAAATTACTTACGTTCTTCCTTAGTGATTTTTTGCTACCAGTCAGTCAATCAGTCAGTCAGTCAGTCAATCATCGTCATCGTCTGCTATTTAGAAAAAATTTTCTTTTTTTTTTTAACGTTCGTTCGTTCCATCGGAGTCAATCGCGAGCGCGCGCTGTTATTATTACCAAATAATAATTATTTAAATTTAATTCCTTTAATCGATCATCAGGAGCGATTTAAGGATAAATAATTTAAATTATTATTTTTCACATTCAATTAAAAGGCAGGTGCATGAAAATAATTTAAAAAAAATTTTTTTTTTTTTTTCGATTTTGTTTATTTATCCAACGAGCTCACACAGAACGCATTCCAATTCGTGTGTGTCTCCCTTTTTTCTTTTGTTGGTATTATCGTGGTATTATTATTATTATTATTATTATTATTATTATTATTATTATTATTATTATTATTATTATTATGTATACAATCTTTAACGGATTTCAAAGAAGAATAAGAAAAAGGAAAAAGTTTTCACAAGTTAAATTTTTATTTAATTAAATCATATATATGACTACTAAAATTAATCGTTTTGTTGTTAAATACAATTTTATCATTATTATTATCATTATTATTATTTGTTGTAGTAAATTAGGGGGAACAAACAACAAAATGCCTGAAGGTTTATAATGTTACAACCCTTTTTTTTTTTATTATCATTCACCGCAGTTTAACAATAATAATAATAGTGTGTGTGTGTAACACTTTCATTTTACAACTTTTTTTTCTTTTATTTTACAAAAAAAAAATATTGAAAAAAAAACTTTTCGTTTGTCTTACGTAAATGGCAACAAGACGAACTTAAAAAAAAAACAATTTAAAAGCTTAATTAATGACGTCATAAAAATTTTTTTAAATGGAAACCCATCAATCATTAATTTATTTCAATTTTTTTTTTTCGGGGGAATTTTTCGCTTCGGATTTTATTATTATTATTTTTTTTTAATAAGAAGAAAATATTAATAAATAAATAAATAAATAATTGAGAAAATAAGTTCTTAATAATAATAATAATAATAAACTAATGAACGTGAGTCAATTTAAGAAAAAAAAAAGGGAACAAACAATTATAAAATTTAAATTCAATGAACCGAGTCGTTTCAGATTAACGAAGCTTATCTGTTATTATATTTTTTTTTTATACACAAATAATAAATAATAATAATAATAATAATGATAACGTAATAATAGGAAAAGGAAAAAAAATGATTGTATTAATGAGCGAAAAATAAAGAATGGAAAAAAATAGGGGTTGGAAAAGTTCGTTTCTGAATATTTAACCCCAATCATCAAAGTTTGCTTATTTATGTCGGGTGTCCGAACGCCGCCGCCTCTTTTCCTTTAACCTTCCTCACAAATGCAAACACGTTTTCCCCCCCACACACACCCCCCCCTCGTTCTCCCTCCCTTCCCTTCTTTTTTTTTTTGATTCATTTTCATAAACTCAATATTATTATTATTATTATTGAGCCTTTAATCGCAAATTAATTGACTTTTTCAAATCAAATATTTACACAAACAAAATATATAAATATATATTCAAAAAAGAAAAGAAAGAAAATTTAATCTGGGAAAGTTTTTATGAAAGATTTATATATATGAGAAGGGAGATGAGAAGAAGAAGAAGAAGATGATGACGTAATAGACGATGACGACATTTTAAACTTTTAATAACTAATCTCTACAAAAAATTATATAAATATCCGTTCGAACGCCGCCGTTCGTACTTTATCATTATTATTTTTTTTTATACACAAATAATTAATAATAATAATGATATAATGATAATTTAACGTATACGTTTATATAAATAAAAATAAAAATTCTACTGGAAGACATTTAAATCAAATTTATATTTAACTTTTGTGAAAAATTTTGTTCAATTTTTTTTTTTTTTTTACATACGCGCGCCTACGTATAATTAATTATATTTTATATTTATATTTAAAAACCCGTTTAAAACGACGAATAGCAGACGACAAAACGTTTTATTATTATTATTATTTAATATCGTATCGAATTAGGAAAAAAAAATTTTAAAATAAAGCTACGATAATTATTATTATTTTTTTTCGTTTGGATTTAATATTATTATTATTATTATTATTATTATTATTATTATTATTATTATTATTATTATTTTTAAAATTTAATGTTTGACAGTCAGTCAATCAGTCAGTCAGTCAGTGAGTCGATCTCTGAAAGAGTTGGAAAAAAAATAAATAAATAAATAGATAAAAAAAATAAAAACATGAACACAATGGACAAAATCAAAACTATGTTCTATGAAAATAGTTAGAAAGAAAGAAAAATAAAAAAAAATAAAAAAAAAATTGAAGATTTCGAAAAATGTTGACATTTTTTTTTCTACAACGACGAAAAAGGAAAAGGAAAAGGAAAAAAAAATAAAATTTTTTATTTTTTTTGTTTATTTTGCATTATGTTTTGTTGACGATGACACGAACTCAGCCTTTTTTATTGTCCTTAGAAGATGGCTAAGCTAAGCGTGTTAAAAGGGAAAAAAAAAAAAAAAAAATTTTAAAGGATAGAAAATAAGACGAAGAAGACGTCGAAAAACAGCTTCAAAATCATCCCCCCCAAAATGAAATAGAAAATTATTTACTTTTTATTAAAACCAAATATTTCTTTTTTCTACTCGTGGTAGAAAAAACATTTGCCGGACAACAACACACAAAGGAAAAATGGATTTTTTTTTTCCTTTTTTTCCTTTTTATTTTTTTTTTTTATTCAAAGCTTTTCCTTTTTTTTTTTTTCAAAATAAATTCGGACTTTACGAGTTTTATTATTATTATTATTTTCGAATACATTTGATAAAAGGAAAACAAAATTTTTATTAGATAAAACATTTCTAATTACACTTTTGTTTTCGTGCGACAAAATAACAATAACTTATTAAAAATTTGTTTGTTAATTATAATTATATCATCTTATTCCACGATTATTAAATTTTTATTTTATTTATTTATTTTTCATCATCGTCGTCGTTTTATTGGTACAATAGAATAAAGTAGAAAAAAAAATATACGTAAAGAGAGAAAGAAAAAATGTCGTCGTATGAGGAGTTGGTAATAGTAAATCAAAATAATATTTATAAAAACTTATATTTAGCTTATGTAATTGTGTAAAATGTCCACTGATCAAACACTTCATCTTCATCACTCCATAGAGTAAACAAACAACAAAACAACCCTGGAGCTTTTTTTTTTTCTTCGAAACGTAACGTTTTGTTTTCTCTACCGTCGGTTGTCGTTGTCGTTTGTTGTTGTTGTTGTTGTTGTTCTTTCATTCCTTTTCAACTCTTTTAGGATGAAAATGCGTTTTTCCTTCTTTATATTTTCCTTTCCTTTCCTATCTTTCCCACTCTCTCACTCTCTCACTCTCTCTCTCTCTCGCTTACTTTCTCACCCTATCTTTTATTATTATTATTGTTTGCTAATAAAATGGCAATTCTTCTTTCAATTGTTTATTTTATTTTACTTTTTATTTAGTTTTTAGTTTTTAGCTTTTAATAATCATTTAATATTAAAAAAAACTAAAACTAAAACTAACTTCCTTCCATTCGTTTTCTTCAATTTTTTTTTATTTACTATTAATAATGTAAATATTTTTAATACGAATAATAATAATAATTATTTTTATTAATCCGTCGGATCCGGGGAAAATATTTATTTATATATAAATATGTATGAATATATTTATAAAACGACAGGAAAATTAAATCGTTCTCCATTAAATTAGTTAAATTGCACACACACAAACAGGAAAATTAATTTATAATCCAATTTATTTATTATTAAAAAATGACGCATCTTAAAAGCTTTGTTCATTTACGTTGTAAAATCGACCGGCGGTAAAAATAAAAAAATAAAAAATTTACTGGTTGTTGTTGTTGTATTTTATTTTTTGTGGGGGGTGGAAGGGGATGGATGTGGGTTAGGGACAAAAGGGGAACCGCATCGATTTTTTTTATTTTATCATAATTTTTGTATGATTTTTATTTTAAATATTTATGTGAGTTTTATACAAAGTAATAAAATACACGCATACGTGTCACGAGTGACGTGTACGCGTACCCGTCATGATCGATAACTTAACAAAAAAAAAAAAAAATTTTTTCCCCCCGTTATTTATTATTTATTTATTTATTGACACGTCGATATAAATAATTTATTTTTTAATTGCGCATCAAAATTTTTTATTTTATTATTATTATCACTCGTAATCGCGACGATTCGTCTTAATGTTTGTCGGATTGTTTTTCAATATTTATTCCAGGTTTCTACCCGACGATCCCTAAGGATCGGTGATGCTGCTACATGTCTTATGGATAGGTTTCGTATTGTTATAATGTATGACGTCACAATAATTCTTCTAAGTCTTTCTTATTCGATGAGAACGAGTTATTTCCTGATTATTATTATTATAGTTTTTGTTAATTTTGTAAAAATTTTTTATTGTTTTGATTCATGGTTCAATAATAATAATAATAATAAAACGGTTATCACAAGCGTCGGAAAGTAACGTTGGAGAAGTATACTGATATCTGATTACACTTTACTTCCCTTCTTCTTTCTAATACCCCGATAAAATTTTGTTGTTATGTTTCGAAATTTTTTATTTTATTTGGGTTTCGTCATTTATAATTCGTGGTATACACTTACTTGCAAATCTGGGATCGTTTGCCGTACTTCCATACCAGCCAGCACTGCTTCTCATGTCTGTATAATGAGAAGTAAGTTCTGATCCGTTACAGTATTGCGTGGGAAATTGATGTCCTAACTGCATGTAAGGATTCATAGTGGGAGAATGAGCAGACATTGCAGCTAAAGTCGTGCCTGAACCTCCCGCCGATCCTCCACCGCTACTCCTATACGGTGATTGAGGAGCAGCACCCAATTCGAGTTTCCTGTATGATTCTTCGATCGGGGATAGTATATCCGTTACGGAAAATGGTGTCGTATGAGGCTGATGCTGATGTTTGGGACTCAGGGACATCGCCAGATCGGCACCATTGAGCTCGGGCAGCAGGTCCACGGCGGACCGCGCCAATGCCGCCGCGGCCTCCTGCTCTGTGTGCAGGCCACCAAGCAGCGAAAAGCTGGCCGCCGAGGAGCTCGACGAGCTGACGGTGTCCCCTGCGGACATGCGCTACTGTCCACAGCACGTATGTGCCACTCACTCGCGGGGCACTGAATTTCCGTCACACTTAAAATTCGCACTCAAATATCCACTTGTGCACTGACGCGACGCGACTGGAGTTCCAGCGCGTAACTTTTGCAGAACCCTGTCGGGCGGGGCCTCCCTTCTTCAATGAAGCTCCGCCCATTTGCCTCACGCGACGAATCCACGCTACGACTGGTGGTCCACGTCCCTCAGCCTCCTTTCTCCCTCCCAGATTTGGTTTTTGTTAATATAGGTTCACTAAGTAAACATCCCAGAGCTGAAATTCTCTCTTTTTTTTTTCTTTCTTTCTTTCTTTCTTTTTTTTTTTTACATAATCATTCTCCAGTAAAGTGTTTCTCACGTATTTCCATTGTCCGATTGTTGGTGGAACTTTATAGTCTTACTTATAGTCTTCGTTAAAAATTTCCATACAAAGAAAAAAATATAATGTGCGTTTAATAATAATAATAAACAAAGATCATCGTATGAAACAATTACCCCCCCATTTTTCCAGATTTTTCCACAAACGTGTCCGTGATAGCGTAATCAATAACTAAAATAATTTTTCCCTTTAGGTAATATTACGACAAACCGGAAGTAATTACTGCAATCGTCGACAGATTAACAAAAGGATTCAAATTCTTTGTTTTTTTTGTGGATTCTTTTTTTAAAAATGGCGATAATAAAAAATAAATCCCGTAACGAAAATAAATAAATGTTTTATATCAATAAAAAAAAAAAATTTTTTTTTAAATAGATTTAAAAAAAAGAATTTGAAGAGAGCAAACTTTTTAAGAGTTACTAGAGAGGGATGGAGTAGCTCTTTTAACACTTACTACACCCAAATAAACCTACCTGATCTCTTTTTCTTCTTATTACAATTGTATTGATTTAAAAAAAAATTTTTTTTCTTTTTTTTGGTTTTTGCGCGTCTGCTTAATTATCATCATTATCATCATCATCATTATCTTTTTTTTCGCAGCCGTTATTTTTCCATTTCCAAATATTTACGTATTACAAAAAAAAAAAATGGTAAAAATATTTAGGAAAATTTTTTCTTTTTACTTCCGGTTTGATTTTTTTTTTTTTTGTAATTAATTTTAATTTTCTTTTTATTATTTTTTTTTGAAACCTCCCCCCCCCCCAAAAAAAAAAAAAGAAAAATTTTTTTTTTAGAGCGCAACTCAAAAAAAAAATTCGCTCGATAAAAAATTTTCTTTTTTTTTTTTTTGTTTTATATTTTTTTTTTTAACTTGAATTTACTATCATCATCATCATCATCATTATTATTATTATTATTTAAAATTTAACGATACGAAACAACTTTTAGTTAATAAAAAAAAGGGGGAGAGAGGGAGGGAGTGGGGGGAATTAAAAAGATTTTCCAGGGGAAAATTTTTATTTTATTGATTTTATATATATATAAAAAAAAAGAAAATATTTGCTTTGTAAAAAGAAATCTTTTCCTTTTTCTTCTTCCTTTTTTTTTTCCATTGATTGCCTTTTTTTTTGTTTATACAACAACAACAAAAGAAGAAAATTGTTAATCATTTTTTAATTTATTGATTTGATTTTTTTTTTTTTTTTAGGTTTTATTAAGAGAAACGTTATTTAGTTAGACGACAGGAAATTATTTAATATGAATGGATCAATGAATTATAGCAAAAGAAATTTTTCTTTAAATTTATGTGTAAGGGAAGGTTAAAAAAAAATAATTACCACGACGGCCAAAAAATTTTTTATTATTTTCAACAACAATAAAAGGTTCAACAATTTTGCCAGGCACTTGAACTTGCTTTAAAAAAAAAAAAAATTGGCAGCTGGTCTATAAAGCAATGAAAAAAAAAAGAAAAGAGTTCAATGGACGACGACGCTTTTTCTCTCTCTCTCTCTCTCGCTCCTGTTGAAAATGTCGTAGTTTTGTTCCCTATAAAAATCATGAACTGTTTTTTTCATTTTTTTTTTTTTCTTCCCTCGCATATATAAAAAAAAAAAAAAAAATAAATTTATACTGAACCGGGTACTTGAAATATGCGATAACAAAACATACTTGAAAGTAACAAAATTTTAAATGTCGAGGGTCGTCATTGAACATTAGTTTAAGGCCACCTTCCTTTTTTTTTTTTTTTTTTTCTTTTTTCTTTCCTTCAGCTTTTATTTTTCCGAGCATCTGTCGTCGTAACCTCAAAAAAAAAAAAAAAAAAGGTAAATTTTCACTCACTTTTTACCTTGTTAACAATACATTAACAACACAACTCATATTGAAATACTCGTTAATTGTCGGTGGCTAAATAAATATTAAATAAATTTGTTTTCTTCTTCCCTATCGCAACCACCACCACCACCACCATTATCATCATCAGCAGCAGCATCATCATCATCAGCATCCTCATCAACGCCACCACCACCATCACCATCATCAGCAACATCATCACCACCATCAACACCATCAACATCAGCATCATCAGCATCAGCATCATCACAATCATCATCAGCACTACTACCATCAACACTACTACCATCAGCACTACTACCATCAGCTCCATCATCAACACCGCCACCATCAGCATCATCATCAGCATTAAATCATTATCAGCATCGTCAGCACCACTACCACCATCATCATCATCACAATCATCATCAGCACCACTACCATCAGCATCCTCATCATCATCATCATAATCATCATCATCATCAACATCCTCATCATCAGCAGCATCCTCAGAATCATAATTATCAAAAGCCCTACTTTAGTAACCTACATAACACTTTTACTTAAATAAATATCAGTAGTAGTAATAATAATAATAATAATAAAAGAATTTGACCAAAGTCAAAAAGAGGTTAAAAAAAAGGATCATCCACTCAAAATTTGAAAAATAAAAAAAATTGTCTACTGCTAGTTTATATTTCAATTGAATTATACAATATAAAAAAATTTCATCAATGACCATCGTTGTATCTTCGTAATATTTTTTTTTTTTAAGAAGGAATTTTTATTCTTATATCGATTCTCGTTTTTTTTATCGAATTAAACAATCGATTGTTGATCGATAAATTTTTTATTTATGTATTTTACGTTTTAACATCGTCGTCGTCGTCATAGACATTTTAAATTAGTTTATTTAAAACATTTAGAATATACGTTTCGCGGCCATTTTTTTTTTTTTTTTTACGTTTATGAGAAAATTTATTATAATGTTTCGAGTATGGATTTATGAAAAAACTATTGTTCGAAAATAAATTGTGGAGAAATAAAAAAAAAAGAGAAAAAAGTGCGAATATTTTTTTTTAGCCTTACATTACGTAAATTGTATTGAAAAAAAAAAAAAAAAATCAAAGATGATATTAAATCCGGTTGAGTTAATTTTACATTTAAAAAAAATTTATTTGTTCTTTGCCTCCTACGGTTCTTATAAAAATTTTTTTTTATTTAATCGAACCTTTTTTTTATATTTTTTCATTCGTCCCCCTCCCTCCCCCCGCACTCACACACACACACACACACACTTAAAATACCTTTCAGGAAAAATTTTCTTTAGAAAAAAAAAATTCTTTTCTTAACTTATCGGATGATGATGATGATGATGATAATACTAAATAATTTTTTTACTATTTATTATTATATATTTTATAATTCATTTTTTTTTTTATTGAATGGTGGTGGTGGTGGTGGTGGTGATACTTATTATTATTATTTCTTAAAAGAATCTTTTTCAGTTTTTTTTACACCCTTCAAAAAAAAATTTTTTTTTCAGCTCATATAAATAAAATAAGAAGAAGGAGAACAAAATGGCGGAATCAACTTGTCAAAGAATACATGCATAAATAACAAATTGTTTTCAAGCAGACGACATTTACAATGTTTATTTTACCATAATAATGACGAAAATATAATATAAAACAAAAAAATTTTAAAAAAATTAAAAAAAAATTAAAAAAATTTTAAAAAAATCAAAAAAAATTTGAAAAAATAAAAAAAAAAAGTAAGTTTTTATATTAATTAAATTTTTTACATAATATTATTTATTAATTAATAAATTTCAATTAAATAAAAAAGACAATGTGATTTTCACGTACGGTATTTATTTTTAAAGGCCCTGTAATTATTTTTAATTAAAAAAAAATATATAAAAATCCCCCAAAAAAATAGTAAAAAATTTTAAAATGAAAGGAAAAAATATGACGTGTGCAAGATGTAAAAAAACCGTTTCAATTTTAGAAAAAGAATGTGACGAATCAGGTTTAGCATGGCATTCATATTGTTTTAGATGTTGTAAGTAAATATTTACTTTAATTTAATTTATTTTTTATTATTTTTTAATAAATTTTTTTTTTTTTTTTTAAATTAAATTAATTATTTTTTTGTCGACAGATAAATGTAAATTTTTAATGACTGAAAAAACTTTGAACATTACCGGTAAAAATCATGATGAATTATATTGTCAATTTCATTCCGATCCAAAATCAAAAACAATGGTTGTAAACCTTTATTATTATATTCACCCTACCTACCTTATCATCATCATCATCATTATTATTATTATCATATCATATTTTGTTTTTCCAGCCGAATGCAAAAATTTATTACACAGCACCAGGATACCGTATGATAATATCAAAAGATGATAAAAAAAAAAAGGAAACGGAAAATAAATAATGTTAGGAAAACAAAAACAAAAAAAAAAAAAGCAAAAAAAAAAAAGCAAAAAAAAAAAAAAGTAAAAAAAAACAATAATTAAATAAAATAATTACATGGGCTTTTAAAAAAATTGTCTTTTATTATTATTATTATTATTATTATTATTTTATACTAATATTATCATAGTATATATATATGAATATTAATAGTTTTAGTTTATCTCATAAGTTAAATATGAAAGGCTCTGAATAAGTCCTGAATAAGTTTTTTATATTATCACTTGAATTTTGATTACCGTTAACTTGTTTGTACAGTAAGTACAATAACAACGTGTATAATAATAAAAATAATAATTAAATAAAAGCGTAAAACTCTTATAATAATAATAATAGTTATAATAATAATAATAATAATAATAATAATAATAATAATAATAATAATAATAATTAATATTAAATCATGGTGACGCATGGTTGAGCTTCTTCTTCTCCGGTTAAATTATCCTGTATTTCTTCCTCTGACGTTTGTCTACTGCCGACAAGGATAGGAGGAATTTGAGGATGATATTGTTCGACTCTTTCCAATAGGGAATCAGGATAGCCAGGTGAAAAATATAGGACAACTTCTTCGGGAAAGCAACAATTTATTATAGTTATGTATTCCATTAGAGTGCTCCCAGGTTCCGCTTGAATTTCTTGTATTTTTTTCAATGCACCCGAAGCCACGAATGATCTTCGGGCTCCCGGATTGTTTGGTAAAATTTTACTGAATTGTCCTAATACGTATTTTAATATGTTTCCAGGAGCATCTTCTAAAAGTAATTCGAGAGAGGTTATGTCTAATGTTTTTTGAAGTACTTGCTTGAGAGCACATTTACATTTTTGTTTGAGATCTTGGGAGCTTTTAGCACAATTGTACAATTGAAGTATTCGATAGAACAAACCGCATCCGGCTACGGCATTGGCATGTTCCGGTGTATGTTTTCCACACTGTCCCACCGCCCATACTACGGCTGCCAGTATGTGAGATTCCGTTTCGGTACAAAGGACTTCCGATAAAATCAATAATCCTTTTGCGTTTATAACGGCTAAAGCTAATTGATCGTTGTGAGCGCAGATGTATCCAATTGCAACAATGGCGGGAAGGCGAATTAAGTTTTTAGTGTTGGTTATTTCTTCTAGTAGGGCGGCTATACCTCCGGTATTTACTATGAGCTGAGCTAGTTCTAATGTGTGCTTTGTTATTTCTCTGATTAAAACCGCTGCTGCTTTTTTTATTTCGTCATCCGTATGACACAAATGAATCATAGCATCGGGAAATATTTCCGCTTCAACTACCAATTCTGCCAAGTCCGTTGAGTGTTTTGCTATATTTGCAAAAGTATTTAAAACTAATTTTTTCAATTTAACATCTACATTTAGTAAAGCTTTAGCTAAATAAGGTATGGCTCCGGCGTCCACAACTGATGTTGCGAGACGACCAGAGTGTTTAGCAATGTCCGAAAATGCCGAGGCTGATACTTGTTTTAAACAAAGATCAGGTTCTTGCATGCACAAAACTAGTAAAGGCACAGCTCCTATGTCTACAACAACTTGCGCATGAGATGCAGAATGCCTGGCTATATATCCAATCACCCATACCGCAGCTTCTTTGACACTTTGATCAAAATCTTCCAAACAGACAAGTGCAGCGTCTAAACCGCCTGCTTGAATGACTATATCTGCCATTTCTGGCTTGTATTTGGCAACGGATCTTACAATAAAAAGTGCAGCTTTTTTGTAATGCTTGTTTTGATTTTCCAATCCTTGAAGCATGTGTAAAAGAATATCATTGCGAAGTATTATCTCTGCCACTTTTTCATCCCCATTAGCCATTCTTCCTAAGGCTACTGCTGCTCCCAATCGAACACTCGGCACCATGTCTGTCAAAAGGGGCTTTAATAATTCTAAAACCCCCGTTGTATGTAAACATTCTATATTTGCCGGCCGATTAGCCAATTCGGCCACGCCTTGAACAAAATGAGTTCTTGCTTTCTGGTATTGTTCAAAAAGTTGAACAATAACCCGAGCCATTCGTGCACCAATAAAATTAAATTACCTCTTCACATATTTAAAAATTCATTTTAAAAAGAATTTTCATAAAAGTTGTTTTGTTTACAAAAAAAAAAAAAAAAAAAAAAAGAAACAAAAAAGGCGCGGTTTTGTTTAAATATATTCAGCGCCATTTTTACCATAGAAATAAACAATTTATTTAAGATTTTAAAATATGATATATGTATTTAATAAATATTTTATAAGGAAGAAAAAGTTCATAAAGTTCTCGAAAGCTGAAAACTTTTAAACACACTTTTTAGATTAACATTAAACATAATTACAATTTTATTTTAAAAATTAACAAAAATTTATTAGAGTAATAAAATTCTTATCAGAGTTCTATGTTTTTTTTCGATACTAGTTGAAAATAAGAATATAAAGTGTTGCCTTTTCTCGTGTGCAATTAAAATGCCTGTTTTGATATAATATGTTATATAATAGAGTAGTAAATCTGTATTTACTATAATATTATGTTTTTAACTACCAGGTAGTGAGTGTTTATTTTGGTTCAACTATTTCGAATTTGAAACTCATTATCAAAATTTAAGAATATAGTCAAGTGGTATAAAATGAAAGGAAAAAAAATAATGCAGGTAAAATTTAAAATATTAATTTATATTTATATTGATAAAATATATTTTAATTACAATCATCCAATCCAAGGCTTCATTCTTAAAATTTACACAGTAAAAAGAGTAGTATAATTTTATATAAATTGTAATTTCTTTGAAAATTATTTAAAATACAAAAATCTTAGAATCAAAACTACAAAAATGTGTACAAACTCTAGTAAATAAAATAGTAAGTAAATATATAATTGATATTTTTTAATAAACTTATAATTATTAATTAAAACAACTCAAGTAATTATCTGCTTATTAAAAATTTACGCATTTCGTTTAATAACTTTGTCAATTATATTTTTACAAAAATATTATGATAACATTCATTAAAATTTCTACAAAATTTCCTAAGCTAATTAACAACAACAACAACAACAACGTTTATTTACATCATTCAATGTTTATTTACATTATTCACCGCCTTATAAGAATTCAAAAAAAAAAGAAAATGTCTGCCAATAAAAGTTAAAGTGTTTAAAATTAAGTTGGCAATAGTTCCCAGCGCGTTTCAATCTAAAATGTCGGAGTGTTTTGGTTCAATAGTGTATTTATGAATAATGGGACTACCACAGGATATGTGAGTCAACAATTATAATTAAAAAATATTTTTAATATGTTAAATTTTCAAATTCTTTTATATAAAAAATAAATTTTTTCGTATTTATTTAAAATAATAAAGTCCTTAATAAAGTATTAGTACCTCTTCATTGTTTTTGATGTATTTCTTAACAATCAAATATCATTATTACCACTTGTAAAAACAACTTTTATTTAGCAACATTTTAAAATTAAAAAATCAATAAACTATTATTATTTGTTGTTTGAAGATTAAAATTAAAAGGGTCGGATTTGTGTGAATTAAAAAAAAGTCTTCGTGAAATATAAATTTAATAACAGTCAGTCATTACTCAAATTTTACTCACCAAAATACTTAATAATAACTCAAATTTTATTTTATTTTATTTTTTTCATAAAACTTTATAACCGTCACAGCTACTTTTAAATATCAGTATTACAATTTTAAAAATATTCAAGATTTAAAAATTTGAAATTGGTGGCTTTTTTCTGAAAATTGCATAAATATTAATTACTTACATTGAATGTGTGTGTTTAATTTATGTGGTATTTATTTTAATGCAATATTACAAAATTTTTTAGAGCTTAATTTTTTTTTTTTGACCAACAACTTATTTTATTTCGAATTTTATATATCTGAAATACTTTGCTTGATAACAAAGATATCTAATATTGACATTACTTTATGTAAATGTCAATGGGCTTTAATTTTTATTATCGATTAATTTATTTTTTTGTTTTCAATCAATTAGTTACTTAGTTTTATTTATTTTATTATTGGTTAAAGATATTTAAATACTATTATTATTATAGTTTTAAAACAAATGGCAATCCCCTTAATTAGTTTGAAATTAAATTAAATTAAATTTATGTTAATTACGTTAATAATTATTTATTATTTTATATATATATAATGACGATGATGTTGTTTCAGACCCGAAGAAAAAAAATCAATTAAATATGGAGAACTAGTCATTTTAGGGTAAATATATCAAAATAATTTTTTTTTTACATTTCAACATCTTACTCAATAATCAATGAAAAAAAAAAAAAAAAAAAAAAAAAATTTGAATAATTTAATTAATTTTTCAAATTTTAGTTATAATGGATTCCTTCCACCGGGAGACAGGGGTCGAAGAAGAAGTAAATTTGTTTTGTACAAAAGATTACAACCTAATGGAGTTAAGAAATCTAAACATTATGTTGTTAAAACTCCTCATTCCTCACAGGTAAAAACTCATTTATTTTTTCTTCAAATCAAAACAAGAATTTTTTTTATTTACCATTAGTTATGGCGGAGAGTATTGCACGACAACAACAACAAAAAAAAAAAAAAAAAAAAATTTCAAAGTCACGATTTCGATTAGGTTTTGCTACGGGGATTTTCCTACATTTTTTTTTTTTTTTTTACTTTCTTTTTCTTTTTTTAAAGTCATGTCAAAATCAGCAATTAACACTTTTATTTCTATAAGCCTTGACACCGATATTTACATTTACGACCGTCTCTAACTATCTAGAAGTTTTAGAAAAAAAAAAGGGAAAGGGAAAGGGGATGTATTAGAAGAGAGTTATTGATGTGTATAAAAAACCAATTATCAAAGTAATTAAAATTGCATTAAGAAGAGAGAGAGAGAGAGAAAAAAAAGAAAAACTTTATTATTTAAATTAATAATTAATTTTAAAAGTAAATGATTAATTATTATTATTATTATTATTTAAAAGTTCAAAATTTTAATTTGATTAAACGTTCCAAATAATGAATTTTATGATTTTTTTTTTTTTAACAGTTACACTTTCTAAATAACATTTCAATTTAAAAATCAATCATCTTTTTTTTTGTCTCTCTCTCTCTCTCTCTCTCTCTTTCTCTCTCTGTCTCTCTCTCTCTCTCTCTTTCTCTCTCTGTCTCTCTCTGTCTCTCTCTCTCTTTGTATGACGATAATGATGGAAATAGCGTCTTCTGAAAAGTGTGTATATGTATATAAATTAAGATGGCAGAATTCATTTGAGTGTTCTAAATTTATTTTAAAGTTTTAATTACTGCAAAAAAAAAAAAAATTGTGCGGTTGATGATGGTTGATGGCTCACATCATCAATTAGAATCATAAAGTCCTTAATGCTCTACCACCACCACCCCCACCCCCCACCACTACTACTATTCTTTTTTTTTTAATAAACGACCAACGAAATTAAAAAAAAAAAAAAAGTCGATTATAGTTTTTGAGGTTAAGTACTCGACTGAAATTAACTTTAATTATTATTATCATTATTATTATTATTATTAATTAATTTTTCGATAAGTTAATTTTTTTTTTTTTTTTTTTTTTTTAAGGCTATATTGGATTCAAAACAACATTCTATATCATTCACACTTTCGAGGAATCAAGCTATCATAGTAGAATATATGCCAGATGAAGAAACGGATATGTTTCAGGTATTATTATTATTATTATGGTCACCCTTAAACACGACAAGGCTCTTATTTGTCGGGGTTTTTAAACATTTATCCCAGGTTTCTACCCTATTCCTTAGGGACAAATACTCGAATTTCGGTGGTGCTATTTATACAATATTTTCCGAAGAATGTGGGCTGTCCCACATAGTGCGATTTCCTGGATGGTTTCTTCTTTTAGGTTCTTCATAATCTTCTTTAAATTTCCTTTTATCGGGTCCCCCCGATGCTTCCACGATGACCGAAATCGTTTCTGCTTTTGTTCCCCACATCCTGACTATTTCAATTTCCAAATTTCTATATTTCAGCCTTTTGTCTGCTTCTTTGGCTGCCTGGTGTTTTTTTCTGCCGGCACGGATACCTCAATTAACTTACACCATTTTTCCCCATTATGCCTGAGTATGATATCCGGTTTGTTAGCTGGCACAGTTCTATCAGTGTGGATTTGTTGATCATATAGAACTGTGCATGGACCTACTGTCGTAACCGGGCTTGGAATGTGGTTGTACCACTCCTTGGATAATCCATCCATTCCATATTCTCGGCATATACTCCAATGGAGATATTGACATAATTTCTTCTGAGATTGGGCTTTGCTATTATAAGTTGCAAGTTGCCCTTCTTCCATTATCTCGTTTTCTTTATTTTCTTGGACGATTTGTTTTGCCCTTTTCAGTACTCCTTTTTTTGTAATTTTTCCTTCCGCATGTATAACTTGGGCTAAGATAGGGTCCTCTTGATGGGATTCTATGTATTTTCCCATTCCAATAATGGCATTCTGGTATGCCGCTTCTATTTGTCGTAATCCTCTTCCTCCATCTTTCCTGCTGACGTACAATCTATCAACATCAGCTTTTGGATGTAACGCACCATTCATAGTTAATATTTTCCTTGTCCTTCGGTCCAGGTGCGTGATTTCTTCTTTTGTCCAGTCTTTATTATTATTATTATTATCATTATTATTTTGAGTACGATACCGATCGATCTATCGTTCGGTAGAGTGTTAAATTTCTAATTTAATTTCAAACGAGATTTATTTTTTATTTAAATAAATAGATCGGCAGGTCTTCGGATCCTCCCATAGATTTTGTCATAATGGATACGATTCCGGGTGAAAAACAGGGAGAAGAACGTGTCAATCAGAGTACGATATCCCGATTCGCGTGTAGGATATTGGCGGACAGATCAAATCCAAAAATATGTAAAATATTTGCTGCCGGATTCGATTCTTCGAGGAATATTTTTTTAGGGGTGAGTCGAGGGTTTCCCCATGCATTTTCGACTTGCGTTAACTTACATTCATTCCGCCCTTTTCTTCTTCGTTTGTTCTTTCAGGAAAAAGCAACAAAATGGCAGGAAGGAAGAGAAATCGATGGTCTCACTACAAACGGAGTATTAATTATGCATCCGATCGGGAACTTTGTCGACGGGGATTCAAAACCGGGAGTGTGGAGAGAAGTATCCGTGGGGGGCGGCGTTTTTTCCACGAGAGAATCAAGGTCGGCACAGCAAAAAGGTTCAGTGGTAAGTTGATTCTTTAATTTGTTAAACCTCTCACAAATTCGAGTCAGTTATAAATATTTTAATTATTTTTTAAACAGATTGCAAACGAAACGAATATTTTACAAGACGGAACGTTGATTGATCTTTGCGGAGCAACTCTATTATGGCGTTCTGCAGAAGGTTTGGCCAAATCACCCGTGAGTATTATTTTTTTTATTGGGTGTCGTCAAGTTTAACGGTTAAAATTGTTTCTGCCACGACTGTTTTATTTTGAATTTCAGAATAGGGATTATATCGAGGCATTAGTTGATAAACTCAACGCAGGGAAACCTCTTTGTCCCGTTGGTTTAAACACGTTGGTCATTCCGAGAAAAGGTACGGCGGATTCGAGTAATGAAATGGAACAACCCTACGTGTATTTAAATTGTGGACACGTTCAAGGTCAACATAGTTGGGGTCAAGACAAGGATTCGGATGCCAGGAGATGTTCACTTTGTTTTAAGGTGGTCCCCCTTTTTTTTTTCGTTTTTTTTTCGAAATCGAATTTCAAATCACATTGACAAGAAAAAGATTTTCCCTTTTCAGGTCGGTCCCGTTGTGAAAGTAACAATGGGTATAGAGCCTGCATTTTATGTCGGCATAAAGTCGGGAAATTTTTATGCCTTCAGCCCTTGTGGGCACATGACCACGGAAAAAACTGCAAAGTGAGTCCAAAGTCCTTCGGGATTTATATCTTGTGATTACCCTTTTGAATTTTTCGATTGACGAACAAAAAATAATTTATACCTTTTTTTTTTTTTTTTAAGGTTTTGGTCGCAAACGGCGATACCACACGGAACCAACGGTTTCGATGCAGTTTGTCCTTTTTGTGCTACCCCCCTGACCGGGTATCCCGGTTACATTCGTCTTATTTTTCAAGACAACGTCGACTGACCCTAATAACTGTGTGAGAGAAAAAACGTCAATTTCGAATATAATCGAAATGTTCTCGAACGATGTTCACTTAAAACGATTGTATATATTTATATACATGCACGTGCATATATACGTGCGTGTACGTGTGTGTGTGTCTGCGTCAAAAAGGAAAGAGAGAGAAAGAGTGAGAGAGTGAGAGACAACAGGGTATAAAACCCTCGCCGCATATATATATATATATATTTTACGAACGAAATCAAAATAATTATAATAATTATGGAACGTTCACGATAATAATATTAATAATAATAATAATAATAATAATAATAAAATTGGAAATCGTCTCGCGTTTTAAGTTAAAAAAAAAAAAAAAAAAAAGTAGTAGGATTATTTTAGAAAGTAATGGTTAAGTAAAAAGTTTTCGACGGGGAAGAGGAGAGGAGAAGAAGGAGTCATTGTCGTCGTCGTCGTCGTGACGTCACAACCGGAAACGAAGACGAATTTTTATTTTAGAAAAAAAATTAAAACAATCACTCATAAGTAAATTAAATAAAGTAGTAGTAATTAAATAAAAACAAATCAGCCTATTCTAAAAAAATTGTGGTGATATGGCTGACATTTTAAAAATTTTAATCAAGTAATAAAGAAGATGAAGATGAAGAAGAAGAAGAAGGAAAAAGGAAAAAAAAAATTTTTAATAATTATTTTGCTTTAAAGCAATAATAAAATAATTTTTGTTGCATGTCTTTATCATGCTGAATATGCTATATATGTTGTTTTTTTTTTATAAAAAAAAAAAAAGGCTTTTATAAAGTCTTGCAATCCTTTATTATTATTATTATTATTATTATTATTTAATTTTATTTTATTTAATAAGAAAAAATTTGTTGTTTGCGTCCTTAATTTTTTTTTTTTTTACTAAATAATTATTATTATTACTATTATGACTATTATCATTATTATTATTTATTTAGAAGAATTCGATTTTACAGTATGAAAAAGTCATTTATTATCATTATTATTAATATTAATTTTAAAACCGTAACGAATATGAACGCAGATATTAGCAAATCTTTTGTTTATTTATTTTATTTATTTATTTTTTTTTTTTTTTATACTTTAAGTTCGGTAATTATTCGTCAATAAACAATAGATAAAATGATAAAACGTTTTAATAATAATAATGATAATAAATAATAAATAAATAAATAAATGAAAAATATTTTTTTAATTGTTTTTACTTTATCGAACGTAATAAAATTTGTAAAAGCAAAAAAATTTTTTTTTTTTATAAATTATTGTTGTCGTCATAATAAACGTCATCGTCATCGTCATCATCGACGTCATCATCGTCGTCGTCATCAATAAAAACGTGAATGTACCGAATGTGTGAAAATATATACATAAATGAATTAGTTGTGTACCGTGTAACCTTTTTTTATTTATCTGTTGTTATCATTATTATCATTATCATTATTATTATTATATAAAAAATCAACATATGTTAATTTTGTTTAACTTATTATCATCATTATTACCGTCATTATTATTATTATTAATTAAAATATAGAAAATAAAATGTAAGAGTTAATAATAAAAAAATAAATAAATAAATAAATTTCGATTATTATTATTGATTATTATTATTATTATTATTATTATTGACTAAAGATTAATATCCTTATAAATACATATATATATATATCATAATGATACTTTGTGCATTGTATAATACTGCTATAATTATATATTTATTTATTTTTTGTCTTTAATAAATAAGAAGAAAAGAAAAGATAATGATAAATAATAATGATAATAAAAGGAAATTTATGTAAATAATGTATAAATAAAGCATATTAAATAAATAACGGAAAGCATTCTCGTATCATTTAATTAATTAATTCACGATACATAATTTTTATTAATTTATCCGTTAATAATAAATTTATTATTATTTCTTTTTAAATAAATAAATTTTATTAATCGATATTTTCCATCTATCTACCTATGTATTTATTGTTTTCGAATCCGCCGTTTATTTTATTATTATTTATTAAGGGAACACATAAATAAATAAATAAATAAATAATTTAATTATTTAATTAATTTTTATTGAAAAAAAAAAAATTTTTTTTATTAATATACAATACAATATAATAACGATACATATATATAAAATCCAAAAAAAAATTTATTATTATTATTATTTGATTACATTATTATTCGAATTTATTATTATTATTATTATTATTATTATTGACAATTTTTTATTTATTTAAAAAACTAATTGTACAAGTTAATAAAAATTGAATTAATTAATTAATTTATTTATTTATTGATAAAAATCGATTGATTATTTCTTTTTTTTTGCGTTTGTTTAAAAAAAAAAAAAAATTCCTACGTATTTACATTTCTTATTTTATTTTATTTTGGCTTTAATAAATAAGTTTAATAATAATAATGATGATGATAATAATGATAATACATAAATAATTAAATTAAAAATCTTATGTATATATATATATATATTATTTTCATTTTCGGATATTATTTATACATAATTAATTTAATGGTGATAAAAAAAAAAATATTAATTAATTAATTAAATACAAAATAAACAATAACAACACGATAATAATAATAATAATAATAATAATAATAATAATAATAATTAAATTAAGTAAAATCGTTACGATAAACAAAGAAACAAATAAAAAAAAAATAAATAAATAAAAAATTATTTTTTTTTTTAATTAATTAAATTTTCAATTCCGTTCGCCCTCCCCCCCCCGCGCCCGACCGTCATTTTATTATTAATTTCATTAGAATCATTAGAATTAGAATTAGAATTATTATTATTATTATTATTATTAACGATTTTTTATTTTTTTGACGAAACGTTTTTTCTGCTACAACAACAACAACAACAAAATTTTGACTTTATTTATTTATTTATTTTTCTTGTAATATTGTTACGATTACTGTTAATTAAATATTAATTATTTTTTTTTTTTTAGCAGACGACGACGACGACGACGACGACGACGCATGATTACGTAGATTAATAATTAAATATAAATAAATATAAAAAAAATGGAAAAATGGCAACCTCGCTTTCTTTCAACTCTTCTGATTGTTTTGCTGATTTTCCGTGTACTGCTGCACGACGGAAATGAGCATTTCCGATATTCTCGACACGTCCACGTTCGTTATCAAATTCGGATTGTTTCCTCCCGTCATCATGTAGGGAGGACCGGGAGGTTGACCCGACGTCACGTTGTTGTGCGTCGTCAATCCCAGATTGTTCCCTAAATAATTTGACGCGTTTGTACTCAGTTGATTTTTTATCATCGAATTGTTGTTTTTCAATTTGGACGTGAGAGAATTCAACTTTTGCTGCGTTTCCGCCGCGAGTTTTTCAATTTCCTCCGTCATTTGTTCGTATTGCGAACGATTCGACGAATTGTCCGCTTCGATGGCGAGCCTCTTGTGTATCAACATCAAATTATCAATGTCTTGCCTCAGTTGAACGGATACCGTCGAACATAATTGTTTCGTCACTGAAAAACGGAAACGGAAATTTAACGCGAGAACTTTTACGAGCGCCCCCTATTCGAAACCCTATTTGAAAAAACTTACGTGGAGCTGATGCCACGTCGATTTGCGTTTCCCTCTCTTGATTTTTAGATTTTTTCGTTGCGTTCGTTAATCTTTGCGTGACTTCTTTCGCTCTCGGACTTAAATCTTTTAAACTTCCGTAACGTCCGCCCAAATTCGTTAAACGTTTCTGATTGAAATCCATGCTGTAATAATAATAATAATTATTATTATTATTATTATCATTTTTTTAAATTTCTCCATCCAGAAATTTCCAGACGGAAAAGAAAATTAACACTCACTTATTTTTATCAGAATATTTCGTACGACCGAAACCGGTTTCTTCCGAACTTGAATCGTCATTGATACCAACCGTCGTCAAGTTAACTGGAGGGAAGAAGAGAAAAAAAACCGTTAATTTAAATTTCTCCCCGTTTCCTTCGAATTCGGGAATAAATCCGGAAAGAAAAAAGGGAAAAAAAAATTACCGCTTGAAAAAGCCGCCGTTCTCCTCTTGGATAAATTTTGATTTTTCGATACCGTTGGGGCAGCCATTTTGTTTTGACTCGATATCGTCGGTCTCATGAGACTTTTAACCGTTCCCGTTTTTTTATTGTCCACCGTCGTTTGACCATCCAAATCTCCATCCATTCTATTCAATCCCCCCACCGAACTGCACCTGACCATGGATTGACCACGTGATTTTGTTCTATAGTTATTAAATCCGTTAGAATTATTATTATCCATTTTGACGTCCGCCATTTTCCCTGAAACTATATAATACGCGCCAAATTATAAATTTAAATCCGTTCGCTTTTTTTTTTTTTTTTTTGTTCTTTTCGCATGCTCGCATACGTACTCATTCATCGATTGATTGATTGATTGATTGATTGATAATGAAAAAATAATATATATATATATATATATACACATTATCGATGCAGACGAAAATCATCAAATGGTAATAGTAATAATAATAATAATAATTGTAATTATTATTAATTACCTATTTGATTTTTTCTCGTCGAAAAAAGAAAAATGACGATAATATGTGATGATGATGAGTGTCGATGACTTGAAGAATTTCAACCCCATTACTATTATTATTATTATTATCGTACATATCGAAAAAATAAAATGAATGAACGAGGCTTACCCTTAGACGAAGAACTCATTTGAAGATTCGGTGATGCTGACAAATCAGAAAGAGATATGGCTCTTCTCAATCCTTCTTCATCTCCAGAATTTTCATCTACACGAAGGAAAATTCAACGGAAAAAAAAGAAAAAAAAAAAAAATACTACAAAAAAAATAAAAAAAAACATTCCGGCATGCATGCATTATAAATAGCAAACGTAAATGATTCGTGTAAAAGGGGGAAGCAGGGGGGAGGGGATGCGTGAAAAAAAAAATGAAATTAATAATAATAATAAAACAAATAGGGAAATACGTAAACCTAAAGCTAATTCATTTTTTCCCTCAACTTCTTCATATTTAATGTTTTATTATTATTATTATTATTAACACCGAGCGAGTTTCACAAGGTTTATGTTCAATGGGTAATTTCAATGACATGACAAAAAGCGATTTGAGCAGTCGTTTCGAATAAAGGCGAATTAAGCTTTCTGCTTTCAAAACATGTCGAGTGCATATTTGAAAGAAAAAAAAAAAAAACATTTAACGGTTAATTTAACAAAGCTTCCATTTCGAACGTTTTTCTCCTTTTGTACTTCCATTTCTACGTATATAAAATTTTTCTTTTTACGTTTGACGTGATGGTATTTCGACGAATAAATGAAAAGCGACAAAAATTAAAAAAAAAGTCAATCATCACATTCATGTAAAACAAACAAATAATAATAATAATAATGATAATATTATCTGTGCGCAATCAAATTTTTTTTGCTTTTTACTGTTTATTGCAGGCAAACTAAAGCAACGAAACAAACAAAATGGAACTAAAATATATAAAGACTACGTTGAGAAAAAAAAAAAAAAAAAAGCTCTGAGCAAAAAAGGAAAATGTGAGGAGGCAAACATGTGCCGGAAAAGACACAAAAAAGGTACAAAACAAACGAATTCATCGTTTGTACTCTATCCTCTCTCTCTCTCTCTCTCTCTTCTCTCTCTCTCTCTCACTCTTCTCTCTCTCTCCCTTCTCTCTCTCTCTCTCTCTTCTTTTCTCTCTCTCACTTCTCTCTCTCTCACTCTTTTACCTACGTCATAACAATCATAAAGACGAGTAAAACCTTTTTTGTTTCGAAAATTACCTACGCATGACAATAATAATAATAATCACAGTCCGATAAACTTCAATAATAATAATAATAATAATAATTTCAATATAAATTCACAAGCTCTAATATTACCGAACGATATTATTACTTTAACGAAACAACAACCACAACAACAACAGCAACAACGACAAACAACAATCATTATTATTAACTGGTCAATAATACCTTGAGTTACTTTATTCGGCAAAACGAGTTGATTGGTTTTAAGCATTAATAATTTTTTTCCGGATCCATCTTTTTTTTTAATTTTCGAATCTCTTATAATCGGATTTGGAAGCGACATTGGTTTCCCTCCGATCGTCGTGCCATCATTTTTATTCGATGATCGATTGTGTATTCTCAACGGTTTAACAACACCTTTTGTCGAACGGTTTCGACAATTGTTGGTTAGTTCCACGAAAAAAGCATCCGATTTTTTAATGACACTTTCTTTTTTACATAGAGGTTCGCTCCCGATCCTCCCCGTTCGCGATAATGATAATAATCCCGGCGGTGATTTTTGTTTTTTTTCGTCATCGTCTACGAACAATATATTTTCAACGCTTTTATTTAATTTTTCGACATTTTTTTTTTCCCATTTGTTTTTCGATAAATCCACGCTTCCGTGACGTTCTATGGCAACGACGCGACGATGATCGTGGAAGGATTTAACATCGCGTTCTTGCATTTCTAATATGTCGCCGCTTCCCTGGAGAGAATTCAAACCGCTTATATCCGTGTCGCTCAACTCTTCCGAGTTTTTTTCGCTGAACAATGTCAGGTTTCGACATTCTTTCGAAAATATCTGATAATCGCTCACGCATCGTCTCGGACACCAGGACGATCCGAACGTTTCGCTTTCCAGAGAATCCGAACTGAATTCTTCTTCCGTGTCTTCGTTTTTCAACCTTTCCATGCATTCGGCCACGCTTCCATAGTCTTCTTCTTCCACGTTATCCGATACATCGTAATCGATTTGATCGTGAGCGCAAAGTAATTTTTCCTTTTTCTTTTGATTGATTATATTACTTTGTTTTTTATCGACCGGGTTTTGACGGGAAACAAAGTTTTCCTCGTTTGAAAAATGATCGTTAACGGGAGAATCCGGAAGGGAAAAATGTTCACTTTGACTACCGTAACCTAAATACTCGAAACGTTTTTTACTATTTGTTTTCGAATTGAAATTGTTAATTTGACCGTTTTCGAAACCATCGTTCGATTTTACGTCATCACCGGATAAATTTTCATATCCGGTTCTCATATGAGTTGAAATTTTGGAAGTACAAACAAGAGAATTTTTCCTAAATTGTTTTTTCCCTGAATAACTATTATTATTATTATTATTATTATTATTATTATTATTATTACGATTAAAGTCGTCATCATCATCATCCTCTAGTGTGTTTAAATTAACGTCTTTTGTAATATTATTCGAACTCGAAAATATCGATACAAGTCTGATGGGTTTATAAGAAGAAGAACCTTTACCTTTGTTTGTTTGTCGGTGGTTTTTCACGTGCGAACCGTTACTAGTTTTTTCCGGATATCGTGACAAATCGCAAATGCTTTGACTCGTTTTCAAAGGTGACGGAGACATTCCAGACTGGAAGAGAAGATGAAAAGAATTTTTAAAAACAATCAATTACCGGAAATAAATGAAATCGGGAAAAAAATTAACGTACGATTTTCAACGTCCTTCTCGTGTCTTCCAACCTTTTTTTCAATTCTTCTCTTTTCTTCATTTTTTCAATGTCGGTTTTTGTTTGTTTTGCCGCATTAAGAACCGCCGTGTTTTTAACTAAATACTGTGATGTGATGCTCTTTCCTAAACAAATAAAAATAAAAATTCAAAAATGAAAATTTATTCCATTCGCAAATAAAAACTTAAAACTTACCGTTTATTTTTAGTTAAAAGGTTAGAAACAAAAAAAAAAAAAAAAAAAAAAAATTGAATTAAATTTTCCAATTACCTGAATTATCTTTTCTCGACTCGATGCTATCCGCGTTTAAACTTTCGAAATTATTTTTAAAATAATTTTCTCGCTGACCGAAAAAATCAAGGGATTCCGTGCTGGCGGAAGTCAAACCGAATCCGAGACTTTTTTCAATCGACGGAGTTTCCGTTTCGCTCGAAACATCTTCCAAATCATCATCATCCGAATCCTGACTACCGGAAACGGATGTCGGAGGATTCGATGCCGTGCTCAAATGTTCTAAATTTATCGTATTTAACCTATTATTCGTTTTAACCTGTTGCTTTTTATACTTTCTAGCGTATCGTCTTAATTCTTCTAAATTATTAGCGGTAACGGTGAATTCGCTGTTTTTCAAATTTTAATAAAAAAAAAAAAAAAAAAAAAAAAAAAAAACAATCAAACGCCAGAACGCATGCATTAGAAAACAAAAAACAAAAACCGTTAGATGAATTATTAATTTGTTATTTTCTTAAAAAGTCAAAAAAACGTGTAAATAGAAACAATTTTACGTTTAAAACAACGAACCAACCTATTATTTTCCGACGAAATCGGATAATAATGCGTTTCCATTTCGACATCGCTATCTTCGATGTCTCCATCGAAATCAACTCCTTCCCCACCCTGCGAATCTTTCATTTTTAAATCATCTTCGTTTTTTTCCAATTGACTTTCCAAAGAGCTTTCCTTTGAATTCACCTCGTGACTCATTATTCTTTCTTTATCTAATTAAAAATTAAAATTAAATTTAAAGGTTTTCAATTACAGGTTTACAAGGTTTCGAGTCGTTTTATGTAAAGTTTCCTAAACCTGGACTAAAAGTTGCTATCATTATTTCATTATTTTCAATTCTTTGAGCCCATCTCCCCTGCGGTGGTTTACTGACTTTAATCACGCTAAATCCGGTTCTGATCGGTTGCTCTGGAGTATCGTTTAATTCCAACGGACTTTTACCTCCCTTATTCGGATCTGATATTTCTCGCCTGGCCCAAGCTGGTAATTGACTCATTGAAAACCTAATTGAGAAAAAATTAATCATACCTTATATGTTTTTCTTTTTTTTCTCTCTCTCTCTCTCACTAATACACGATACCGCACCTGAAACCGGCTTTTTCAATATTTGCCGTATTATCGACGTCGTATATTTCAGGTTCTTCATCGCTGACTAATTCTTGTCCTTCGTTCAGGTTCAAATCCGGATTTAATGACACCGTTCTTTTTCCCCTTTGAATGAAAAAAACATTTCCAATTGAAATTAAATTATGAATATATGTTTTAAAAAAAAATTAAACGGTTAAATAAATCTTTTACTTTCTAACGGCTTGTTGATCTAATCTCGCTTGCATGGTGACCGTCATATCTCGAGGCAGACGCCATATAAATATGCAACCATCTCCGGATGCGGATATTAATCTTTTGCAATCGTTTGTAAACCTTAATCCTGAACGATATAAAAAAAATGTTATCGTAAATAAATTCATTTTTGTTTTTTGAAAAAAAAAATTAACATTAATAATAATTTACCAGTGACTAATTCCGAATGACCCAACATGGTTGCCATGCATTCTCCGGAATAATAATCGTACACGGAAAGGGATTTATCCGTGCAACTCGTGGCCACGTAAATTCCCGAATTATCTAAAGAAACCTAATAAAATTAAATAAATAAAAATTAAATTATTATTATTTTTTTTAATGGAATGAATTTTGTTCGAGTACCTTAATTAATGTACCATCCTCTCCCATGCTTCCCTTGAACGTTTTACTATGTTTACCGCTGTTAACATTGTAAACCCTGATGTTCCTATCTTGACAAGCCGTTAAAATGTGTTTTTGACTACAATCGACTTCCATGTCGTACAAAGTCGTTTTACCCGCAACGTTGTGATCCCTAACAAATTGTTTCGTACCATCGGGACCAGCCTGAAAATTTTCGCCGCTTAAAACTTAGTACAATTTTCTTTAACTCGACAATCGATCATTCGTGTTTTTTAAATACCTACAGGTTGATACTGTCTGAAAATAATACTCTTATCCGCACTGCAAGAAATCATTTGAAGTTGTCCCCTGTTATTGATGAAACGAACGGAGGTTATCGAACTACTGTGATCATCCAATGTTTGAGTACACTCGTAACCCTAAACACGTGCACATTTTTTCAGATTCACAAAAAAATATCGATTTAAAATAAATAATCAATCGGTCAGTCAGTGAGTACCTTCATGACATTAAACACGTGTATGAGCCTATCTCTTGAAGCGCTCGCTAATAAGTTATCGTTCGTATCTTTCGTATATTCCAAACACAAGACTTCTGCATCGTGAGCTTCGATTATGACCGTTTGCTGAAGATTGCTCAGCTCGTGAATACTAAAAATAGAAAATTGATTCGTGTTCGTATCGAAATGTAACGCAACTTTTTTCAGGGATGACAAAAAATTTGCTTCGTACCGAATATTTCCCTCTCTGTCTCCCGATGCCAGATGTTTACCATCGGGACTAATCCTTACGGATCGCACACCGTTTTTACCATCGTAAGAAGAATCCACTTTTTCCGCAGACGAAATTGTTAAATCTAAATCTTTCAAGTAAGTCAAATTTTTATCAACGTATAAAACTTTTAATAATTCCTGAAAATAAAAATTTTAAACATATAAAATTGCTTTTTTTTTGGGGGGGGAGGGGGGGCGTTTTCGTAGAAAACAACGAATGAAATTCACTCACGTTGCTATAAATATTACGCTTGTAAACGGTCGGGTTATTACTCCCCAAATTATTTAAATTCCATACTCTTATTGTATCGTCACTTGAGCAAGTAATAAATGAGCCGGGAGGAACGGGTAATTGTTCTTGAGTTTCGACTTCGGGATAAACTTCAACGCCCCAAATACAAGCCGAATGAAAAAGAAACGAATGAGATTTTCCCCCCTTGAAACAAAAAAAAATTTTTTTTAATCGAAAAAAAAAAAAAAATTATAACAATGAAAAAAAATTTTTTTTTTATTCTAATTTATTTACTCTTTTAATTTCTCGAACATCCCACACGTATAAACTATGATCATTATAGACGCAAGTTAATTTATTATTTATTTCATCGTAGGCTAAAGCAATGGCATCTGGATATTTGGCATCTTCGGGATGAGTTAAAAGATGGCTGTAAATTTTTTTTTTTTAAAAAAAAAATTTTAATTATTTAAAAACGAAAAAAAAAAAAAAAAAAAAAAAAAAATTTTCAATAAATCATTATTAAAATTATTAGTATGCCTACCTAATGTTTAATCCTAGAGCAACATCAACGCCCAAATAATGAGTTCGTGGAAGTGTAACTAAAAATTGTAACGTCATCGGACTAAAGCATCTAATAATACCATCAGCACATCCGACAAATATAAAATTTTCTCCTATTGTCATACAATTAGCGCTCTTTGTCTTAAAAAAAAAAAAAAAAAAATTTGTGTTTGATTCACCAAGAATAAAAAGTAAATGAGAAAGAAATTTGTCGCCGGTTGGTCATGACTTACTTTAAGTTCTACCCACTTATCAAGCATTCTTCGAATGCTAAATTCACAAAGTAAACCAGACTTGGTTATGGAATATGTTGAATCCCCTTTTGCTCCTCTTCCGCAGGCTACGTCACAAAAGTAATTATCACGTTGTTCTCCTAATATTGCCGAACGACCAGTCAAAGGAACTGGATCGTTGTACTACAAAATACATATTTGAAATTATTACAAGACAAACGACAGGAAACACACAATGAAAGGATTAAAAAAAATTAAAACCTTTGCAGATCTTGTGGTTTCCAAATACCAAAATTTAACATTTCTCATTCCAACAGTAACAAAATATTTTCCATTTTCTGCAAAGGATATGGCTTTAACTTTAGTCGAAACTTTATTACTGGCAACTTTAACATTACTTCTCCAGTCCCATACATTTACTATCATATCGTGCTGCGACCCGATAGAGACGACATATTTGTTATTCGGAGAAAAAGCCTGAAAATTAAAAAGAAAAGATAATAAACTTATAATTATACATTTATTTTCCACGTGAATAATTTCTTATATATTTAAATGAAAATAGTTTTGCCACTCCCACATAAATATGATTTATTCAGGCCAAATTAGGTTACGATTTTATGACAGTCGGCCCTGAGGAGATAAGAATGTTTTGTTTTTTTGTTTTTATTTTTTTTTTTGAATAAGTATACAATTAAATTTTTATCCTGACAAATAAAAAAACCGTTAAAAAGAAAAAAAAAAATTGATAAAAAAGTTTTATCACAAAATTTCTTACAACACAATTTATTCCATATTTATGTCCTTGAAATTCCGCCATTTGTTGTCCATCCTGAACGTTCCATATTCTTAAACTTGGCGCGTGACCACATTCGCCGGTAGCCAAAAATTTACCCCCTGAACCAAATGCTAAACAAGTTATTGTTTTTTTGCTCACGTTTAATATATGATTTTGCCTATTTTTTTTGCTATTAAAAAGAACAACTGTACACCTGTTTAAAAATTATTTATTTTAAATTAAATTAAAAAATAAAATTGTAACAATTTTCAAGTTTGACAAAAAAAGCAAAACTCACCCTGCCGGGTATGCAATTTGTTCAGATAAAGGATCACAATCCAAAGCAGCATTGCTACCAACTGTTAATCCTAGAACCCTTTCTAATTTTACCTACAAGAACGATTAAAATTGGTCGCATGATAATTTTCTTAATTAATGATGGATTAATGAAAAAATTAATCGTTATGAAATAAAATTGATTAATAAAAATAATTGCTGGTAGGTCTTTAACAACACAGAAAAAAATAAATTGAAATTAATTTATTTACCCTATCATCTAATGGTACATCATCTCTCCCTCTTTTGAGTGATGGCATTCGAATTATTTTTGAACCGGCTATTAAAGAATCTTGATTTTGATTATCCATTGAAAGGCTTTCCAGTTATGTGTGCTTCAAGAGGCCAAGAATTTAACAATAGTTCAATAATAATAATATAATAATAATTAACCATTTTTTAAAGCTTATAAGTCAGTACCTGTAAAACCTAAATAGAGAAATGAAAAAAAAATAAACATAACTAATGGTAAAAATATTTTTAATTATGAAAAATTATATTTAGTTTGCGAGTAATATATATATATATATACATGTTGTAACAGTAATTACGAAATGAATTTCACAAAAAAATAAATTGAAGACTGATAATAAAAATTTACATTTTATACATGGAAAAAAAAAACTTTTAAAAACTATAATTATGATGAATATTCAAAAAATATTAATAGAAAACTACTTAAAAAACTTTCAAAAGTCATTTAAAACATTGAGCTATAAAATTTCTGCATCAGCAACAAAATGCAATTGAGCATGAACACTTAAAAAGATTTAACAATAAAGAATAAAAATTTAATAACTAATAATTTATAATCAAAGACTTTGCAATAATTTGCTTCTTTTTTTTTTTTTTTTTTTTTTTTGCTAAAATACAAAATTTTCATTTTAAATACAAAATAAACAAAAATTTAACCTTCATCAAATGTGTACTTTAATCCTCAAAAAAAAATGAATCTTGTGATTATCCTAAAATTTAATTATTATAATTTTTTATAAAAAAATCAAATGAGAAAAAATAAATTATTAAAATTTTAAGCGATAAAAAAATAAAACCGAATACACACTAAAATTATTGAAATGAATGTTGTATGTGTTAAACATTATTTATTGGATTTCAAAAATTAAGACTTTTACTTATAAGACAGATGGGCACCAAATGTAGGTTTGACTAATTAAATATTAAATTACAAAATAGTGAAATGCATTTCACAACAAAATCGAATTATACTCGACGTGATCAATAATATTAATACTAAAATTAATGTAATTTAAATTAAACACCTGTGTTTCTTCAATATATAACTTACGGCGCAACAAATTTAAATTATTAAATTTTCAAAATACAACTTTATCAATATATATTTTAGAGATAAATAATGTAAAACTTAAGCAAAAAAAAATTCAAGTACCTTTATAATATTTAAAAAAATTACAAAAGACATTATTACAATATTTGAATATTATTTATGAATAAAACTAAGCGTAAAAAATGTATAATTCGTTTAAATATGTATTCACTTAATATATTAATCCTACGACTTAACACGCCATATTAACAAGCTATACTGTGACCAACATTAGAATAAAAAAAAAAAAAAAAAAAACGTGGGAATAGGCGAACCGAATAAATTATTAATATATATATATTCATATAATGTAAATTTTAATTATATAATATTTATTATGTGTTATTTTCTGTGATAGAAACCTCAAAAATTTTAATAAGTTAAAAATATTTTTTGATTCATCGAACAAACAATTATTTTCTCATCATTTCAGTAAAATAAAATAAAATAATAATTAGGTAAAATTAAAACGATAATTAATTATTAAATAACAATTATTATTTTTAATTGATTCATTTACATAAATTCATATATGTATTTGCTTTACAAAACAGGTAAAAAAAAATAAAGTTAATCACAATACATAATTAATATCAGTCATTAAATTATATAAATTTAAAAAAAAAACAATTCATAATAAAATTTAATTACATTGCAAGTAATTTTCTTATAAAAAAATAATTATTTTTTCTTTTTAAACTACAAAAATAAACATATAATAATAATAATAATAACAACAACAACAAAATTGACGAATTTTTAACCGGTACAATAACAATATAAAACCTGTTAAATCATGATACAGTCTTTTGGCTCATTTTCATTTCTTGAGTTTCTTTTGCGTTTACTCCAAGTTCTTGTAACTGACAAAAAAAAAAACACAAAAGTTTTATGTTTGCCTAATAAAAATTAATTTTTCCATTTAAATGTTTTCATTTTACCTCCTTTTCGTCATCGACTTCATCTTCTTCATCTTCTTCGTTATCCGAACCGTGTACGGAACTGTGCCTGCTACTAGATGGACTTGGCGGTTCCGATATGGGTCTTGGATAATTAAATCTCTTTCCTTTACTTTCCTCTTCTTCGAAAGTAATGTCTGTAAAAACAGCTTGCAATGCTCGAACTCTAGCTTGTCGATAATACTACAGAAAAAAAAAAAAAACAAAAAAATTAAAAATTTATTCCGCCATTTTAAAATCGTGTAAAAAAATTTCCATACAATTCCTAAATTTCTCCAGTCTAACAAATCGCTCAATCGTTCGGTTCTGTTTCTCTGGATTATTCTTTGCCTCCTGTTTAATCTTGAAAAATCATACATAAATTGTGCCAACTGTTGAACGGAACTTTCCAGTGATATGTGACGTCTGTCAACGATGTAAATACCATAACTCATGGGATCTTCAATCTGCTCTTGCATAAAACAACCAAATCCTAAGAAAAAAAATTTCATTCATTGTAACGAAAAAAATCTGGGAAATTTTTCGAAATTCTGGATTTGAGCGTGATCAAATCAATCAGTAATTAAATAATTAATTTAATTAATTAAAATTTACCGGATAAGTTAGTTGTTATACTCGGTATTCCCATAACAGTACATTCGGCAGGCGTGTAGCCCCAGGGTTCGTAATAACTCGGAAACACTCCAAGATGACATCCACGCACAAATTCTTCATAGTCCAACCCAAACAATGGATTTGTCGACGACAAAAATTCTGGATGAAAAACAACCTACGAATAATATAAATATCAATAAACACTTTCCAAAACAAAAAATTTTTAAAGTTAAATTTTGACAGTACTTTAACGCGATCGTGTATTGTGTTAAACAAACGACATCTTCTCAACGCATTCAAAACGGGATCCTTGTAATCATCGATGACGTTGTGTGTCGTCACGGGAGGAAGACCATCTCTTTGTAAGGCATAAATACAAGATTTTATTTTCACTTGATCTTCTTTTAATAAAAGTTCGTTGGCGTCAGGCATTCGACCTCTAAAACAAAAAAAAAAAAAATATATTTTTGGTGTGGATGACGCGAGACAAACGATTAATAATAACTTATATTTTCCTTTCTTTCTTTAATTACCTTAAACATATTTCGTACATTCTCTTTCCAATTTTATTTTGAATTAATTGCAACGTGTCTCTTAAACTTTTAGTTACCGCGTGACCTCGAAGACTTTCGACGTTGAAATTTTGAGTTGGCGCAGGAAATATAAGAAAAGCTACTATCGTCGTATCCGAATGGTTGCTCTGAAATATAAAATTAAGTTATTATAATTGCTACCGAAAAAGAAATTTAAATAAAAAACGAATTTAAGGTCTCTTACCTTCAAATAATGATTTAATCTAGCTAGAGATTCTATAAAAATATCAGCACCTTTGTTACCAAATTCGTACCTTCCCGCGATGAAAAAATACAAAGTTTTATCGAGATCGAAATTGTAGTGACCGTAAAAATGACCGCGTACGAATTCGTGAATTTTTTCCTTTGCGATGGCGTGAAGATTTTGAAATTCGTGCAATGCGGAAAATTTTTTTATATTTAAACCGTTCGGAGTGATTATGTCTGGTTTTCTCTTGAGTAAATGTTCAGCTTCCAAACCTAAAGTAACAAAAAAAAAAAATTTTACCTTTACATCTTTTGTAATTTTTTTTAGTTACAAAACTTTAATATAATTATTATTATTATCATCATCTTTGAACTTACCTGTTATTTCGGAAACTGTCGTAAATATATTTGCTAAATGAGTTGCTGCTCTTTCGACGCAATACCTATGATAAATTTGCCTCCGTCCTGCTTCTTCATCGACATTAAACTAAAAAAACAATTTTAAATTATTTAAACAAATTAAAAAATAATTAAATAAATAATCAATAAATGCAATAAGCTAAGCTAAATAAAAGCACCAAAAAATAAAAATTTAGCAATTACGCCCCGACCAGCTAAGCAATATATATATATTATCATAATTATTATTGTATAATTAATGCGTACAAATAAATAATTATTCTTCTTTAGTTAATAACATTGAATTCAATTTTTTAACTAAGATAAACGTTTATTCAATCAAATCTTCTGTTACCTCTCGCGGTCGTCGCCTATTTAATTTTTTTTTTTTTTTTTTTTTTTGGCCGAAGAATATGTTTCCTTAGACTTTTAGAAGCATGCAAACAAATTATGCTCAATGACGATTAAATGGGATTATTTTCTGTTGCTATTAAATATTGAATTATACCTAACGGATGGTAAAATATTTAACAAAGTACGTAAATAACCTCGTTTTGATAAACTGCAAGTGTAAATTAAATTTATATCTTATAAGAGGTGGAGAAAAATAAGGGGGAAATGTACCTTATCCAAATTATTGTAAAAATCCGTATTACCAGCGCACAAATAACGACCTAAAAGTGTTGCATGCGTTGTAAAAACTGTCGCCAATTCGACCTGTCTAATTCTCAAAGCGATAAGTCCTATTCCAGCTTGCCATTCGTGAAAATGAGCGACTATACGCGGTGGTTGATCATGATGTTTTTCAGCTAATTTTTGAAACTAAAATTAAAGAACAAACAACAATGTTAGTTTACAAATGGGATTTTAAAATTTTGTACAAGTTTTTAATTAAAAATATACTTCATTCTGATACAGGTACCTCTGTAAGGAACTCACAAACCATGAACCCAAAAATAACAGCATCATTAGCTTCGATATCTGGATGAGGTATACCTAAATTTGATTTTTCCCACAGTTCTTGTTTAAACTCATCCAATTTCCAAGCTCCAGATCCAATATCAAACAGAATAACTTGAGGGTTTCCATCGACAAGCCATGTACCGGTAACAATCTTAAATGAAAACAAAGTTTTATGTTTTCGAATTAATGATACCACAACGGATTATTTTAGGAATGCTTTTCGATGAGCACCTTATAACCCATTTCTCTTAAATTATTAACTGCCTGATTTAAAGGTTGATTCATTGGAAATTCAGTTTCTTCTACTTCAGTTCTAGCACTTCTTTCTTTGTATGGGCCGAGTAAAACATACTGATCACCCATTTCTTCAGTTGATACGAAAGCTTTCGATCTGATAACTGTATATATTCCTCCAACTGTAGAACACAAAACATATTTACTTTACATGCTGCCATTTAAATTACTGCATTTTATGAAAAATAAAGAGGATCTACACTACAAAATTTGTAAAAAGGAATATATAAATCACCTTTATTGCACACTTCCCAGGCAGCTTCAAAAGTCCATCTATTTTGAAAACTAGCAGTTTGACCATGATCCATAATACTGCCAAAATCATGGGAACTATCCACTCTATAAAATCTCCTCGATGCTCTTTCTTTAAACATTTTGTGGCTGCAAATACAATTTAAAATAATTAAAAACACTTTTTTAATGTAATTTGGTATGAGTTAAATTTCGTTAAACCAAACTTTTTTTTCTAACAAATAAAAAGAGAGACAAGTTTCAACAAATTTACTAATGAATTAACTTAAGCCACTACACTTATTTCTTCTGCGTGTAAAAGATTAAATAACTTTTAAAAAATTTTTGAAATTAAAAATATAAAAAAGAAAAACGAAAAATATTTTAATTTTTTAAAAACTTTCATTCAAAAAAATTCGCTTGAGATTTAATATTAAATGAAACGATTAGCATTTTTATTTTTTTAAATTAAGTATTCGTTTTAAAAATAAGTAAATTAAAATTTGGGAAAAATATTTTTTAAAAACGTAGTTTAGAAAAGAATACCAAAAAAAAAGAAAAAAACTTTTATAAAATTAAATTAGAAAAACGTATTTAAAAAAAAAAAAACTTACGAAAAGGAAGCTCCAATGTCACCTTCAAATTTAGAATTAAAAAGAAGTTTCTCAATTTAACGGTAAGGTACGCTAGTGACACGTTTTATCGTGGTTATAGAAATACGTAAATTAAATCTTTTACTTGGATATTATTAATTTAATTTTCAATTTTAAAAAATTTTTAATTTAAAACAATAATTATTATAATTAAATTAAATAAAATAAATTATTATATTATTATTTTTCATTTAGTGCGACATAATCCTAACTTAACTCGTATAATAATAATAATAATACAAATTACGATTGAATTTTTTTTTTGCTTTACCTTTGCATAAACTTTCCTAAATTTTTTAAGATTAAAATTGAAATTGAAAAAAGCTTTTAAACTCATAATACGAAATTCAAATAATTTAAAAAAAAATTTAAATCCCGTTGAAAATGTGAAAATTCTTACAAACGTATTTAATTCCGATGCAGCAAAATAAAAATCAAAAATAAGCAAAAAAAATTAATAATAATAATAATAATTAAAGAAAAAGAAAAAAGGTTGTTCATTCGTTGTGAATATAATTTAATATTTACTATGAAAGTAGTTTTTTTTTTTTTTTTCATGCATTTATCTGAAGATGAGCTAACACCACTCAGTATACGGTAAAGCCGGCCTTGATCGCTATGTTTTTAACAATTGTATTTTTTTAAATTCTTTTCATTTTTTTTTCTTTTTTTTCTTAATTCACCTAAAGTCAATTCGAAAACGTTTTAAAAATACTTCGTTACAAGTTTTAAACGTAAATATATATATTTAAAAACGGTTAAAAGAAATTATTTACACGAATTGTTTTATTATTTTCTAATGATTGTTTATGCGTACGAAAATCATATGTGGCAGTTGAAAAATAATAATAATAATAATCGGTAACATATAAAAGGTCATTTGTTAAAAGAAAAAAGTTTTTTTAATATATTTCCGCGGGAATTTAATTATTTTATTCGATATAATAAAAAAAAGAGATTTATTCTAAAAACTAATTATTGATAAAAAAAAAAAAAATATATAAGTGAGAAATGATATTAAAAAAGATTTTTTTTGACGTTTTTTTATAATAATAATAATAATAATAATAATAAAGACGGTTTTAAATAACGACGTTAATTACTCCTTCGTTCTTCGTATATGGATATATAAAGTGTAATTAGATAGTAAAAAAGATTTTATACAATCGAAATAATTCATGGTTTTCATGGTATGAATCCTTATTTTTTTTCTTTTTATTTTACTTATTTATTTAATATTTTACATAAAAATGAAAATAAAATGAATACGAAAACAACAAAAAGCAAAATGATAATAATAATTAGCGAAAACGACGTCGAAAACTTATAATTATTAATTAATTTATTCGTTAATAAAATGAAAATAACGGTTTGGAAAAAAAAAAGGGAAAAAATTTAAATTTTTTCTTACTCTATGGAAATCGATTTCGTTTTATTTTCATTTTTCTGTTTTTCTGATAGGTCGAAAGGTTAATATTTCTTAATCTTGAAAAAATGTACAAATGCCAAATATTATTGTTTTTTTTTTTTTTTTTTTTTTTTTGGAAATTACGAATTTTGATTTGTGAAGTAATAATAATAATACTAATTTAATCGTTAATGATTAAAATTTGAAAAAAGCATTGCATTGTTTTCTCTCTCCCATTTTGTTTTTCGTTTGTTTTACACCTGATAGCTTTCATGTAATTTACCTTGACCTTTCAACAAAATGTTCAGTAAAAAAAAAAAAAAAATTTTATTAACAAATGAAGTAAAAATGGAACGGAAATACACCGAATGACCGTAATTGTTAATTTTATGGGCTTTTGCCACACACACACACAAAAAAAATTTTTTTTTTTTTTAGGATAATCTAACGTGTTGGAATTTATAAGAAAGTTTTTGTGTTTGTGTTTGTGTTTGTTTAAAACAAAACAAAAAGTTTAAAAGAATCCAATTATAAATAATTTTTTTTTTTTTTTTTGTAACATTTAAACAAAATCACGATTCAAAACTCTCGATTTTTTCGTTACGAAGTAAATTATTAAATAAATATTATTTTATGATAATAATAATTGTAAAAAAAAAATAGTGAACGTACCTGATTTAAATATTAATAAATTTATCACGTAGGAAAAGGCGTAAAATAGTCCTTCCCTATACCTCCTTCTACTTCTACTCTTACTCCTCCTAAAAACAAACGAAAATTTTTTTTTTGTATTTTTTTGCGTGATTAAAATCATTATTATTATTATTATAACAATGAAAGTGGTTGACATAATTTTTTATTAAATTTACTATTAATACCTTCATTCAAACCTTAAAAAATTTTTTTTTCTTCTTCTCAACTTACAACGTTTGTTTTATATTAAAATAATGAAATCAATGAACAACAGCAGGTAGTACTCATCATTTTACCGGATGACCTCTTCCCACTTCTGATAAGAAAAGTTATGTATATTCTATTACGATGATGATGATTTGACCCAAAAAAACCTCCCTCATTTTACTCAAAAAATAAATTTTTTTTTTTTTGTACCTGAACCCACGGTAACACCTGTTTGATATTATTTTCCGCGCCCCACCTTAGTTTTTTTTCAAGGGCACGTAGACACTTGAGACTGACTAGCTAGCTGCCTTTGGGTGCTTCAACCGCAATTTTTTTAATTTAACAACAACAACAACAACCAGAATATTAATAATGATGATGATGATGATATTTTAAATATTCGTAATATATAAATGTTTAATATATACAACACAAGTTAAGGTACGATGAATTAAACCTTCATAAAAAGGATATATTTCATTAGGGATTCCATATAATAATTATTAGGTTTTTATACGAAGTCACAGGTTTTGAAACCTTGACACATAACATAATTTTTATATATTTATTCAAGAAGAAGAAGAAGATGTTAGCCAAGGTACATAAAATTTTATTATAATTTTCGAATGGGATTTTTTTTAAACAAAAAGTAAACGATCGACAGATCATGTGGAGTAAAATGAAAAAAAAAAAAAAATGGCGGATTTGTGTGTGTGCGTTTCCGGTTCGTGAATTTAACTTAATCTCAACGTAATAATAAATTTTTTTTTCATATTAAAGGTTGTTTCGTATTATAAAATTATTATAAAATAAATAAATGGTGGGATAAATACCGTAAAGAACCGTTCATCGTTTAAAAAAAAAAGAAAAAAAGAAAGTGCTTCTTGCCTCGAGCTTGCATGACCAGAAACAAAAAAAAAAAAAACAAAATGGAGAAGAAAAAGAAAAAGAAGAAGAAGAGAAAAAAAACAACCAGATATGAAAACTTGTTGTTGTTGTTGTTGTTAAAAAACTAAAATTCCGTTCCCACCGCACCTGAACCTGTATGTGTGATTCATGAAGATGATCAAACCTGTGGCCGCTCCCACAAACACCCATCATTAATTCTTTGTGGTCTTCTCTCTCTTGGATTTTGTTCAGTGGAAAAAGACTTTGACTCTCCCCGTACCTTGACTTGATGAAAATAATAATAATAATAATAATAAATGTTTTGACCAAAGTTTGTGTTTGTTTATTTTCCTGTTAAACATAATTCTTATAAATTATTTAGTAGTTTCGTGAGTTAAAATATTATATCGTCTTCTGCTTTATATAAAAAAAAACACGTTAATTTTCTCACGGAAATGAAAAAAAAAAAAAAAATTGTCAACAGGTGGTAGGTAGAGGGCAAAATTAAAAGGCGGTGGTGAATTTTTCCCATCCAATTTTTTATCATCGTAATAATCATCATCATCATCATAATAATCATTACGAGTATTTTTATTTTTTTTTTAGAACATAATAATTTCGACATACATGCAAGGCAACTTGTGAAATTGAAAATTTATCGGGTACGTGGGATTGCGGTCGGATAAAAGAGAAAAGAAAAAGAAGAACCTAAACCTAGAAAAATTTTATACGATGATGGGGGGTGGGGTGGGGGGCAGGGGGAGGAATACCGACGAGAATTTTTTTTTTTTTTTTTTTTTGGGATTCTTTTCCTTGAATTAATTACTCGTTTTTATCCCCTTTTATTATTTTTTCCCGGATTTTAAATCGAGTATAATTAAATCATTTTTCCGGGGAGCTTGTGGGAAAGAACAAAAAAAAATTTCGCCCACTTTTCCCTACCCCCTCCCCTCCCCCGCGATACGAACCCGAATCAAATTTATTTATTATTATTAGTATTTTCTCCCGATTATCATTACTCGATATCCCTACACCCCTCTTCCCTTTACCTCCCCTCCTACCCCTACAGCCCCCGTTCGAAAAAAATTTCTTCTTGTAAAACGTTTTTATTACGTCATAACTTAGTCGGAGCCCCAAAAAAATACTTTTTTTTTTTTTGTAAAATCTTCGTATTGCTCGGAGCAAAAATAAATAATAGCAAAAAATGAAAAAATTATGAAATTATTATTTAACATAGATAATAATAATAATAATAATTTTCATTATTTAAATCGAATATTGAAATAAAAAAATCAATCATACCTTATTTAGGGGGGCGTGAAAAAAAAAATGGATAATTTATTATTATTATTATTATTATTATAATTGATTATTTTCTATGCCGTCAATAATTTTTTTAACATTTACAAAAAGAGTAATAATAATAATAATTTTTGCGAGCGCGTTTGTTTAAAATTTTATTTAAATAATGTTTGTCGTTGTCGTCGTTGTCGTGGTTGTTGTTGTTGTTGTTTCGATAATAATAAATTGGGCGTTTACACAAAGTTGACATTTTTTTCTGTTCATAAGCAGTAGAAAAATCCGCCATATTATTACATTTTATTGTTTTATTTATATATATGTGCCTTTAGTAGTTATTTTAGATAATAATAATAATAATAATAATGATCGTGAAAAGTAAACCTGACCTCGATGTAAAAATAAAGTAAATGTTGTATAAAAAAAAAAAAAAAAAAATTTTTTTTTTAGTTGAGTTTCATTATAGGTTCCATCTTTTTTTTTTTTTTTTTATTGCAACCAACTTGTTTGTTATTTTTGGTGGATGAAGGTTTTCTTATAAATATAGAAAGCGACAGAATAATTTGTAACCGCCGCCAAGGTACATAAAGAGAGAGAGAGAGAGACTAAAGTAATGAATTAATTTCCAAGGTTTTATTATATAACTGTTGCTTTTTACTTTTTTTTTTTTTTAAACGAGTTTTTGTGTAGAAGAAGATGGCACTCGTTGGGCAAGTAGCGGTGCTTTAGTTATTCGTTACTTTCTACATGTTTAGCATATACGAGATTTGTTTAGGTTTCCTCTTTTTTTTTAGGTTTCGTTCACGTTTCGAACTAAAATGTTTTAACTCGTTTATCGTCACATTAAAAAAAATTTTTTTTTTCTTCTTCATAACGAGGTAATGCATTGACGTGATTTTAAAATATCAATAATCGATATACGTCAATGGTGTCGTCTTTATAATAATAATAATAATTTGGTATTTAGTCTCTCCTTCTGGCTTCAAATTCTTCTTCTTCTTTTTATTTTTCCTTTCCTTTGTGTGATTCCATTTAAAACAATTTTTCTCCAAAAAAAGGAAAACAACCTTTTCTTCACTGCAAATACCCCCCCCTACCTTCCCCCCCCATCGCCCCGTACCTTAAATCGCGACAGGACAAGAAATGACGATATTTAAATTTTTTTTTTTTCATCGTTTCACGCCCACCACCACAGAAAACTAAATAATAATAATAATAATAATAATAATAATAATAATAATTTTGGATATATTCGGTTATGGTATTTAACTTTTAAAAACAAGAGTTAAAGAACAGGTTAGCATATTTTCTCACGTGTTGTTTCAAGGCATATAAATCTTAAAGTTTGGGTGTGTACAGTAAGTCTTCTTCAAGTGTTTCATCATCATCATCATCATCATCATCATAATACTAAACACTTAAAACGTATCAAATTCGAATGTTTAAAAAAAAACGCCTTTACTTTTAACACACACACACAACTTTGAATCTTTTTACGTTCATAAAAAAAAAAGTATTAAACTACGTAATTATTATTATTATTATTAAAAGAAAAAACTTTAAAACGTGATTGTCGTGGTTTTTATGAAGAATGCAACAACAACAACAAAATTTTCCTTTACAAAACAGATAAAACCTTTAGTTTGAAAATTTTCGACAAATATTTACATTAGTTATTAGTTTTTTTGTAACAAAGAATGAATAGAAACGAATAAAACTGCGTACCTGAATTTGCTTAAAATAAAAAAAGTAGGGAGCAAAAAAGGGGAGGGAAGAGAAAAAAAATTATTTATTTATTTACTTACCGTTTTTTTTTTTTTTTGCAGGAGGATCTAGGAGCTGAAAAGCAAAAATGGACGTGTCAAACGGAAACTTTGCTTATGTCGAAAAAAACATCAAATCCCATAGAAGCAGAAGAACCTCCCGTTCAATCCGAACCTGTGGATTTGAGTCGTCGATCGGATCAAACATCATATCATCAACATTTATTTTCCATACGAGCTGAAAATAATAATAAAAATAATAATATTAATATTAATAATAATAATAATTCAATTAATAACAATAATAATAATAACAACAACGGTAATAATAAATATTTATCGTCGTCGCGTGACGTCGACGGTGACGTCGATGATGACGTCGATGGCGGCGACGGCGAAGAAAAGGATGTTGTAGTGAAACGTAACGATGTAAATAATTGTACTGTCGTTGTAGTGAAAGATCAAAACGATGTGTTATTAAAAAATTATTGGAAAACGGATCATCATTCTAATAGTCACGTGGATTTATTAAGAGTGTCGTCACAGGAACAAAAAAGTCCGACGACGAAAAATCCCGTTTTTAAAAGTCCATGGCAAAGTACCATACAATCGAGTTTAATACATAATAGGAAAACAATAACGGAGGGATCCCCAAAAATAAAAATAAAAAAATATGATGTCGATGACGATGGTGGCGATGGCGATGGCGGCGATGATGATGATGATGATGATGATGGTAATAAATATAGTAAAAATTCACCATTAGTTCTTCAGGTACCAAAATACAATCCTCAACTTCTCGGATTACAAAATTTAGGTCAAATCGGAATGGATACGAGTAGTAAGAATATTATTATTATTAATATTTTTTTTTACAAAACGGGAATAAAAAACATAATAATGATAATATTAAATTTTTTTTTGTTATTTAAAATTTAAAAGTTTTGTTTAATTAAGGTGCGCCCACGGTAGAGAGAGAGAGAGAGAAAAAAAATTTTTTTTTTTCGCTATGAAATATTATTATTATTATTATTGTTGATGTTTTAAAAATGAATGCCATTGACCCCCCTTTCGTTTTAAGTTTTTTTTTTTTTTTCTTTTTATTCGAAACAAAATAATGTCCGTGCTTTGAGTTTTTTTTTTTTTTGTTTTGTTTGCCTGATTTATTAAAAATTTTAATTTTTTTTTTTTTTTTTTCGAATTCCCTGCCTAAAAAAAAAAAAAAAAAATTTTCTACGAATTGTTTGTTTTGCTTTTTTTACACGATCCGACCGATTCTTCTTTCCAATAAATCCGCTTATACTGGAAAATCGTGAGCTCATCTTAACATTTATTTGGTCACGTGACAAAACAAACACACACACACCCAACTCGAATCCTGAAACTACGAAAAAAAAAAACTCAATGGCAATGATAATAATAGTTACAGACCCAATATTGTGACACCTTCCACGTTTTAAAACATACATAATAATAATAATAATAATATGATTTAATGTGATGGGAGTTTGTTATATGAAACATCATTATTTGATTTTCTCCCAAAGCGAAAAAAAAAAAAAAAAAATTTACACGGAGGTACTAAAAGTACTAAAACTACAACGAATGGGGGGGGTGGTCGTTTTTGAATTGGGGGGGTCTTTACTAACGAATCCGGGTATTGGGAAATTCGTTTCCGGGGGTATTATAAGAAAAAAAAAATTTTTTTTTGTGGGTGTTCGGGGTTGATGTTGGGAAAATTTAAATGGGAAAAAAAAAAAAAAATTCCATCGGGTTCCCTCGTAATCATTAGTGCCAAGGTCAGGAATATCCATCCAAGGTAATCACATAATCTTCGGACGGGATTTAAAAAAAAAAAAAAAAACAACTCTTCCCATGTTTTCCGGTGATCTTTGACATTTCACGCTCAAATTTTATTTTTCCTTCATCTTACCCAAAAAAAAAAAAAAAAAAAAAAGTTTATTTCTTACTTTGTACGTCAATACACATAACAATACGAAATCCTAAAAAAAGTGCACGAATGCATAATTTTTAGCCTAATAATAATAACAATTCTCTTATGTTTTTTAACGTCCGCCATTTTTTTTTTCCTCATCTTATACACACCTGATTATCGATAAAATGGAGGTTGAAAATTTTTCATTAAAAAAATTATTACACTACCTTGATAATTAAAAGTTTAACCGAAGCGCAAAAAAAAATTTGCTTCACACGCACACGCACACACACACAGACGAGTGGAATCAATTCTCAATTAATTTTAATAATGATAATAATGACGCATTCGTAAATAAAAAAAATGTTTTGATTTTGTTGTCTGCCTGTTTGCGTTTAATTAAAAATTTTTTTTTTTAGATTCTTCATCGTCGTCGTCTCCAGAAACACTCGAAAGTAGGAATAAATCTCCAACGGTTTTATTATCATTACAAAGAATAAAAGACGTGTCAATGTAAGTTAAAAATGAATTTTTTCTTTCCAAAAAGCAAACAACAAACAAACAAACAAACAAACACGATTGCAACTCGATTATTTTCAGGGCTTTTCATAAGAGAACAAATCTTAACATAACGACACCGAGTCCAGCTGGAATTGATAATAATGATAGTTTAAGACGTAGAAAAATACACCGTTGCGACGTTGTCGGATGTAATAAAGTGTATACCAAAAGTTCCCACCTAAAAGCTCATAAAAGAACTCACACAGGTAAGTATGAACAATCGAATATGCGCAAAGTTCATTGGAAAGTTCGTATTAACTTGATGGGGGGGGGGTTTTACAATTTCAGGTGAAAAACCATATCAATGCACTTGGGCTGGATGCACATGGAAATTTGCACGTTCCGATGAACTGACCCGACATTATAGAAAACACACGGGTCAAAAACCATTCAAATGTCATTTGTGCGCGAGATCATTTTCTAGGTCGGATCATTTATCGCTTCATATGAAAAGACACTAACTAATATATATCAACCGTTTCAAATTAATCAAGGTTAATTATAATATGTCGCAATCGAATATTTCATTTTAAATAAGTTTTTTCTTAAAAAAATGATAATAATAATAATAATGATGATGATGATGGGAATGGGAATGGGAATGGGAATCTGAACGACAGACAACCCTTCGGAAAACAAAACAAAAACATTTAATGCGTTTTAAATTCCGAGTTTAAATCTCTCAATTTTTTTTTTTTTGGTTGTTATGAAAGAAGACCCCCACCCTCTCCCTCTCCCACCACGTCACAGATCACCGTACTTAATGATAATTTAAAAAAAAAAATTAAAATTTTAATAACTCACCGGATAAAATAAATTGTAGAAATTCATTTCTTGTTAAATGTCTTGTCTTAAATTGAATTCCTGTAAGCAAAAAAAAAAAAAAAAAAAAACAATTTAAATTAAAAAAACATTTTAATTAATTAATTAATTATTGTTAAATTTCAATTGTAATTAAATATTAATAATTTATGTATATAATTTAATGAATTGTTTTTTTTTTTATTTTTATGAATGCATATACTTAAAACGAAATTGGGTGTATTATTATTATTATTATTATTAGTATTATTATTATTATTATTATGTATCGCAATGATATAAAATAAATAAATAAATTGTTATGTTATTTAAATGAGTTTATGAATTCAATTTCAATTTATTTATTCAATTTATTTCAATTTTTTTTTTTAAAATGAAAATAATACCTTAAACGGTGTTTTGTAACTTTTTCATAAATTTGCTATTATCAAAATGGTTGCCACCACACAAAAGTTATGCAAATTATTTAGAAAATTAATTGAATTTTATATATAATAAATAATAGTTATGTAAATAAATAAAGTAATAAATAATAATAATAATAAACTGATGGAATTGTAATTAATACATTGATCGGTAATAAATATTTTAATTTTAATCATAAACTTTATACTTTGTTATGAAAGTAAAAATTTATACTCTTAGTTATTATTATCATTATTAATTTTCACACGATTACAATTTTTGTAGTTTATTGTCATCATATAACATTCATTTTGATTTTTTTTTTTAAATGTGGGGCGTTTCGCACGACTTAAATCTCATAAATTATTATTATTATCATCATCACCTTTCTGACGTAGTTTCGTGTCCGGAGATTTTTATTTTTATCCATTTTTGGATTTGTATATACCTGAATATATAAAAATATTGAATGACAAAACACCCTGGAACCCTTAGAGAAACCCTTATTATTATTATTATTATTATTATTATTATTACATTAAATTTACACTCGTGAAAAAAGAGAGGTTTTAAAAGAGAGAGAGAGAGAGAGAGACCAGGTGCATCAGGTGCAGATTTTAAAAGGGGGGGGATTTAAAAAAAAAAGATGCACGTGTAAATACAAAATATTTTGTGTGTGTGTGTTATTATTATTATTATTTAAATTAATTAATTTATTTATTTATTATTATTATTATTTTTTAAATTATACCTGAAAAAGAAAACATGAGATAAATTTTTATTTAAGCAAGTAAAAAAAAAGAAATTTTTAATTTATATTTTTACTCATGGCAGCTACTACTCTTACTACTAGTTCTACTTTTGACCTTTAACCTTTATTTTTGTTTTAATTAACCCCGAATAAAAATTTACATTATTCCGTATATTATTATTATTATTTCGTATTAAAAACGTTTTGTAAAAAAGAAGTTTATAGAAAACGTGCGATTAGAAAATCTTTTCGACTCATCTTAACATGAAAAAAAAAAGTTATTACAAATGAAAATTAATTGTACTTTAGACAATCCTTCATATTGTAAATTTACAAATAATAATAATAATGATGATGATGATGTTTACGGTGGAAAAAAACTCAAAGTTCTTCTGCTTTGTAATTACGAGATCGCATCGAAATGATAATTTAAATTTGCAAATTATTTTACGTTATGTTTTCTACTTTTAAAAAAACCCAAAAACATTTCATTTTATTAAATTTTTAAATATTTACTTGGAGGGGGAGGGAAACGTCGCCATTATTGATTCACACCCCCACCCCTCGGTCCTACTCCGAATAATTTTTTTAAAAGAAAATTTTTTCACATAGGAAAAAACGAGGCTTTATGTTAGATATGCAGCTAAAAATTATAAAATATATTTTTTTGTTAAAAATGGAATTATTATTATTATTATCATTATTATTACTAAGGTTCCCCCTTTGTTAATATTCATAACAAATAAAAAAAAGGAAAAAGAAGTCGAAGAGCTCACCGATCAAGGTATACAAGAAAAAGGCTGGAATAGAAAAAACACCTGGAACGACAGGTAAGTGTCTACACCTGCTCTCACTATCAATATTTATTCTTATTTAAATTTATAAAATCATTATTAGAATTAATTAATTAATTAATAATGATAATAATAATAATAGTAATAATGATAATAATAATAAAACGTTAAATCCTCTCGACGAAATTATAAAAATTTTTTTTTTCAACTTAAAAATAATTTTTTTTCAAATAGCCATTTGATAA